GGCGAGCCGCTGGACCATCACTACTGAATAACTGCCCGACACCGACAGGCCTGGTGTGCTACTCTGGGACGCATCGCTTCAGGATAGACAGAGGGAATAGGAAGAGCAAGAGAGAGGGCGGTAGAAGGTGCTCTGCTAAGGAGCCGAAGGGTTAATTCTACTCTCTCATGGTATTTAATTCAGCTAAAATGCCCAGCGAGTGCACTAGACAAGCTGGCTGTACATCTGCTGGCAGAGCTCCAGTACCTGAGGTCTGCTGGGAGGTTAACAATAAAAAGCAGGTTTGTCCTCCAAGGTTCTTCAAGGTTGCTTGTCTTTGTCCTTTAAGTAGAAAAAACTAGAGCAAGACTATTGGTGTGAATTGTACTGTATCAAATTTGAAAGGATGAATCGAAAATAATATTTTTTTAAGTCCCTTTACTAAAGCAGTGAGGTGAGTGGATTGAAGCAGTTCCAAAGACAATACTTTAATGAGCTCCTATCTTTCACAATCGAATCAAAGAACATGTGCAGTTGCCAGCTGTGGCCAGTCGTCCGACGATGTTGACCACGGAAGAGAGGACAATCCATTACAGTCTGAAACAGACTTTAGTTTTCTTTTTTTTTAAACAATCTCCACTGGAAGAGTCCTGTTTTCGTCACCACAGACTGAGCCGTTTAAATCTGCACACAGAGCAGATCCTCTTCACAAAGCCGGCTGCCCAGTTTGGAACAGTAGCAGAGAAAGAAAAAACACTGGTTCTAAATGTTGTTCACATTTTTGCTAAGTTTTAGTTAAGTCACAATCCCCAACCTAGCTGCCGGATATGTTAAATTCCACACAATTCATCTTAAAAGTAAAAAATGTCCCACATACCTCATACAGATATATGGGAATTCCAGTATCGTTTTGCTTCCATTTATGTGTTCATGCACTGGAGACATTTGATGCGGATGCCCTCTCCATGTCTCTGGTGTGCGCAACAAGGGGATCATAAAGGGGCTCTGAGTGCAATAACCTCAGCCAGGGCCCGGAAGGCCAGCAGCGAGGCTCAGCAATAGAGGAGGCTGGCATTTACTGCCTCACACTCACACGCAGATTGGTATTAATAGGTTTTGAGGGCCTGTTTTATTTATGACGTAATGCAAGCCCTACCACACACCGTCAAAAGCATAGTTTGGCTCATTTGAAGCGAGATTGTACGACGGCTCACGTTGAAGCGGATACAGGAGTCATCAGTACATAATAGCAATGATAGCATGATGCATATTAGCCAATTCAAAGAAAGGCAATATACAATCTATGGTCTGATCAAAAACGGTACAGATCGGTACCTCCGGAGCAGTACATTACTTTGCCCTTTAGCTGGTACTCCTGCTTCTCCAAATTAGGGATATGCAGAAATCTGTCTGCTCGAGGTAATGATTTTGGAAAAGTACCTCACATGACCTGACATAAAAATCCAAACTGTCAGTTTAAACATTGTAGCAACGTTTTGTCAATGATCAAAATTACATTAACCATAAAAACACGCCACAGACCTCGAAAGAAATGAAGCCCCCCTCATACGTTCTAACCTTGCCAAATGAATGAGGTAAATATGGCATTTTTCAACCTGGACCCTATTTTTCCATGTTTTTGTGTCTGAAGAACTGGGACAACAAATTCTGAAATTGGTCCAATACTGAGTGAGAGCGCGGCAGACACAATTCACTCACAGTCTGCAATTTATTTATATTGCGGCCAGTTGGCACCGTCAGTGAACGTCCACTTAGGGGCTTATGACAAACTCAACTTTATTGTTCCGTCGATATTTTCAGCGATTTAGACGCGGTCAAAAGCAAAACCATCAAGGTGCACACCATTCCACAGTGCATTATTTTTCAGGACACAAGTAAAAAAGAAATTGGAAAAAGATGCAGCTTGCATCTCACGTGATGAGGATCCACCATGAATATTGGTCTACGGAACAATATAGTGATTTTACTAATTGTAGCGCATGTTAAGCGATAACAATCTTTCCCATAAACTATATTTGTGTTCCCCTTTGTGTCCAGGAACGTCACAACATGCGGTTGAAGACTAAATGGAGCCGTGAAGCTTCTGCCAAAAGAGCTGAAAATCCATTTATTTTTGTAACCAACCTTTGACAATAATCAGGTCCAAAGGTGAAATGAAAGCGCTGAACTCTGAAACACAGCGGATGGGACCGCTGTGATTCCAAATATCAGGCATTTTCCAATGTTCCCATCAAGGGCACCCTGCAATCAGTGGACAGGTAATTGTGCCTTTTGTTGCTCTGGGGTTCATGGACAGGATTCAAGACCACTTTGGGGATTTAACCTGGGACCATTTCGCCCTTTGGTGAAAAATGTAATCTATTTAACAACAATGGCTATTAAGAGAAATACTAACATTTAGACAATAACATAGATGGCATGCACTTAAGATGTTCCTATAGTACACCCTGCTGAGAGCTTCTCATAGTATCATTTAATTGCAGGTAGTTTTTGCAGCATTCCTGTGAGATTCATTGAGTTATTACTACGTTTAATGCAGCTTAAATTACACACGTTCTGTTCACAAACATACTATGGACTGAATTATTAGTTTGATTCTCTACAGATTTGATTGCACAAAGATGATACTTTAAATTTATGTTTGTGAATATGAAATGAATCCACAAAGCACTGTGGAAAAGTATGTTTGGCTTTTTGTATTTGGTTGATTGAACTTTTGGCACGTTTTAAACTAGAGCACAGATTTCATCAACCACTGAGCCATGGGATACTCCAGAGGTTCATGCAGAGATCCCAGAGAAGCACTACCGGGCTTAAACCAGAAAACTGGGTGAAGATGAGGAAATTCATTTTCTTCTCACAGCACGTACTTTGATTGTGTTTTTAATCAATACAGTTACCCTACATACCCAGTAGGAGATGTTGGTTTAAGTGTGAGCATGTGTTTTTACTGAAGCAAAGCAGTTTAAGCCATGCTGGAGGCTCTAAGGATGTCAATGATGGCCTGAATTGGTCGTTCCGCCATTGTTACCCATTGAAAAGATTTCCATGAATTTCTATGCAGCCATAGAGATGCTTAGTCCTCAGAGGAAGAACCCTACTAACTAAGCTCATCCACTGACTGTCCACTGAATTAATTTAGCTCAAAGCCAGCTGTGCCAAACTAGAGCTTCACAGAGCCACTGTGGTCTTATCCTCAATCATTGGATGAATAAATGTTTACATTACGTTCAGTGAGACCCATCGGCTGCGCCCCGATCAACACCTGTCCGCAATGGGATCACAGTCCACGTTTTTTTCTTCTTTTTTTCAAAGACTAACTCAGGCCATACAAGACGTATGAGTGTGTGTGTGTGTGTGTGTGCGTGTGTGTGCGTGTCCCCCTCATGTCATCAAAGGGTTTCGGTGGGTGCCGCGCGTCTCTACAATTAGAACACAGTGGCAGGAACTGGCTTCCCCTCCAATTACGACTCCCCCGCCCCCTTCAAAAGATGGTCAGGTGCTCCTTTCTCAAATCAGGACGGAAAGAGAGGAAAGTGGCAGGATGCAAAGGGAAAGAGGAAACGAGCCGAGTGCAGCCATTTGTAGAAATAAAAGGGAATTCCTGATATGTTGCCGGCCGTGAATGAGCAGGCTTGGACTGGGAAGCTATTCTTGATTTGGATGAGTTGGTGTAGAGGACATGATTTTGTGAACAACTACAGATCTATCTTTGAAAACTAGACACATACATTTAACAAAAAACTATGAAAGCATGAAAATAACTGCCTACTCTTAAACATAGTTACTTGAATGAACATTTAAGACAAACATATTAAAAGGACTCAATATGTTGTAAAATAACTATTGCGCTTTGGGCAGCTTGATACAAATGGTTTATGCTGCTGTAGTAACAATTTCAGAATGCTCTTTTGTGCTGCTAAACTGCACTATTGTGGAGAGGAGGAAATATATATAGAATTCCATTTTTTTTTTGCATTCCAAAATGTATTAGTGTATGAAATAAAACAAACTTACAAAAACGTACTTTCAAAAATCTTTTAAAAAACATTTTATTGCATTAAATTAGTGTGAAACTGCATTATTTAAATGAGTTTTCAGCCTTTTGTTTTGTTTTCTTCTATAACACACCTCCTCTTTCTACCTATACCTTCCTCTCATCTTTAGCTTTAACATTCAAGCATAAACACTTAATCTATCTCACCCTCTTTTCTCTTTCTCAAACCAAATCCTCTCCACCATCTGCGGTTGTTACATTCGGTCTTCTTCCAGTACATCTTGCCATCTCCTGTTGCCCGTCCTCTTCACTAAGCTAAAGGATGAAGATGCCGACGCCAGGGTTATGGCTGATTCAAAGCTGGTCTGCAGTCTTAAAAGGTTGAGTGTATGAATTTCAAAGGGCAATTTCAGACCAAGTACAAGGGATCAGGCACTCCAATGAGACTACTATTCTCTCTCTCTCTCTCACACACACACACACAGGTAATGATGGTGTGCACAAACTGCTAATGACAAAAAGAAGGAAGGGCTAATCTGCTGGCTCAGAGGAAAATGAAATAAATCTGTGCCTTGCTCATAACCGAGCTCAGGGGCAGAACTTCAGGCAGATGTGGGCTTTCTTCTCGGATAACGTGGCTGGGAAGTTACAAGATGGTATTTTTTTCTTCCTGGATACTTTGTGAAGATTTTACCTGCTCATTGGACTTACATTGACATCATCATGTATGCTTGCTTCTGTGATTATAACATTAATTTCAACTCAAAAGTAATTGATGCTGTAAATCAAAACCTATTTCTCATGTGTACCTCAATAACGCTTGATGAAGGAGGCGTTAGCTAACGGCACACATCCCATTGGGTCTTGAGATTCTGCTGGTATCCCAGATCTTGAGAATTGTGCGAGGATGAGTCTGTAGACTTCTATAGGGAATGATGATTGCTGGCTAACTGGCAATTGTTGCTACAGAAACAGACGTTTCACAAAAGCAACTACACAAATGGAAATGTCTACTATTTTCACCTTTATTGGGTAGGCAGCAACAACAAAACCATAGTCTTTGACACAATTTAAAAATAAAAAAATATATACTATGTAATCTAACACACACACTGCCTCCTATTTAAAACATCAGCAGCCTAGTTGACTTAACACAAATGGGTGTGCCATACCTTTGTCAGAATATGTCTGATTTCTTTTGGCTGTACAGCAGGTAAAAATAGACACACACTTTACATACAGTATACCAATATACCGTATATTGTGTAAAGGTTTTAACATTTTTATAAATAAATACATGTTATCCCGCAATTAATAAAACTCTTTTACTAAAAGCCTTGATCAATGCACTTAAAAGATGACTTGTTTGAACAAGTTAACAGTTTTGGATTTCTCCCGCTTAAAATTGGTCGCCATAATACAAACACATAAAAACAATTTACATTTTAAATATTCATTCAGTGGCTCTTCAGATTTTTGTAATCTGAAGCCAAGACACTCGTTTCACTAGCTGCTAAAAAAAGTCCACCACAGCTATGAATGTGCAACTTTAGATCAAATACAATAGCCTCAATTGAATGGTATATTCCAACTTCTACATTACATGGTAACAATTGAGCTATTTTGTTCTAGGCTATTACTTTTCTTTCGCCTGTTTTCTTTGTGGCTGTGTTGTTGTTGGTCAACACATGAAGATAATAAAGCACTAATCCGGACCATATACATTTCTTCTACTAACCCACAGCACTATGCTCCAAAGGAGCACCAAAAAACACAAGCTATCAAAATAAAAGTAATTGTATTTGACACGGCTATGCTGTGGTTTACTACTGATATTTCTCAGATATGCCAGGGCACATGGCTAAAAGACTTTGATATCGGCAGTCTCCTCTTATCATGATATGATGTAGGTGTCAGATAGTGGAACATGTACCCACTTAAAAAGGTACAAATCGGATTGACGAAAGAAAAAATGGACTGATTCTTGGTTCAAGTGGAAACCCATCTGAAAGACTACAAAGAAGCGGATTTCTAAATCCAACCACGTTGTGACTTCAGATGTGTACACGGTCATACGTTAGGTTAATGTAACGATTTGACCTTTTTTTTTGCAGCATGTCGATGTAACAGTACTTCTTTTTTTTTTTTTTTACTTTTCTAATAAAACACATCTTTAGACACATACAGAACAATCTGAAATGTGTTAAAGCTGCATAAAGCAATATTTTTCACCCTGACTCAAACAACTCTTGAATATATTGAATGTGACGAATGCTGAAGAAAACACAACGCCGGCACACAAGAGCACAGCCACTGTCAGCGCCTTAGTCTTTTAAGTTGACAGTAGGCTGCTCACCTTATGCAGAACTGTAGAGAGCCAAAGGGAAACAATAGCTGGTAAACAACAGTTGGGTATGTAGATAAATATTTCTTTAACTTTTTATTTGTGTTGGTTTACCAGACCGTGGCTCAAAAACAATATGGAACCTACATTCAATCACAAAGGCCAGAGAGACTCATGAATGCCATCATCAGGCAGCTCTGTTTTAGCTGGATATGAAGCAGCACACTTCCAATAAGCCAAAGGCTCAGTCTCTCTTCCCCGGTGGTCCGAAATCACTTAATGCAGCTTTAAAATGAAGCACGACCTCTACAGGCTACTGTTAAGCAGAATTGAAAGCATTTACAATATCAAGGGGCTGGGTTTGCTGTGCATGGACAAACACTAGAAGCGAGGCCTACACCACAGATAACACCACTCAATGAGCAAAGAGGGAGATCCGTAACTTATTGGCTATATTACGTGGGTGTATTCTTTTGAAATAAATTATGCTTTGAACCTGATTCAACGATCAAGGGAATGTACAAGGGAAATTAACTGAAGTGACTAGAATACTGTTTAAAAGTATGAGATTCATAACCAGACAATTTGTGGGTTGTTTTACAACACACATCTGCACTTTGTTTATCAAATGCAAATATCATTTTTTTCTTTTTAGCAGAATGGGCCATTCCGGGACTCCATTTCTAACACCTATATTCTGCCATCTGGGCACAGACACCCTGAAAGAGGATAAGGAAAATTTCTAAAGCCCATCTACCAAAATTACAGTGGCATTCTAGTGTGAGAAGTGCACACTAGATACTAGGGTCATTTCGCAAGACGAATGTGAGATATTCAGGCCTGCAGTTTGAGGTCTGTGATCTTTTTTCAATCACCGAATTGGTACAGTTGAAAGAGAGTGGGGCACATTAAAAGTAACGAGGATTGTCGGGCCAAAAGTTTACCAAAACTGCCATAAAATAAGGTACTGCTGGCCCTAAACCTTTATGGAAACTAAGCATGTCATTTGACATCAGTTAAGATTTCCACCTCACAGCGACCTCCAGACAGATCAGATCACATGAACCTGAGCCCTGTCCACTGTTGCTGGGAAATAAAGACATCATTTGAGCTGAGGATAACTGCATCACTGATTCAGAGAACCTAAAACAAGCCTATATTTTGGTCAACACAGCAAATACTATCACTTTTCTCTTCTCTTTTTTTCTTCTATATCTATGATCGACTCAAGAGAAGTTTGTGAGTGGATCAAAAGCAACAACCACGAGGTGCAACTAGCAAAGATATTCTGAAGTCAGCTCAGATCTATGGCTCACAGACCGATTTCTGTTTCAGAACTAAACCTGCTGTTTAGGTTTTAATTCAGTTTGTTCACTATTTAATATACATTGACCTGTACAGGGAGGAGGGGGGGTGCAAAATTTAGTTGTTCGTGATGAACGCTCATGCATGAAACCCTTAGCAGAATACTCATAACAAAGCCATACCAATGGCTATTAAATGGCTATTAAAAAAAAAAGAAAAACTCTACTAGTAGTTATCTGCTGCGAGCACAAGTTCACTGCCTTCAACATAAGGTCCTCGGCGTCAAACCCATCTGAATTCTAGACATACTGTGCTTTTTAATAGAACTGGTCAACAATAACCACGCTTCAACAGTGGTCAATGTCAGCATGTTGTTAGCATGTTGTGTCCAGGGAAACATCGTATTTGGGGCATTTCGACTTCAAACACATTTTACAATTTACATATTTTAACAGTCCTTGGTCTGATGCTTTGACGTATGGGGTATTATGTGCTGCACAAACCATGTTAAATTGGTGTTTTACCATTTAAGGTTACAGATAATATCTACATCATGCATTACATTCTGCAGAGGATCTCAGTAAACAGCTTTCATCACATTTTAACCAAATGTCAGATCAGAGCTTGGCCCATCACTACTTCTTTATCTCTCATCTTTTCACCGGCAAAAACAGAATCAACACAAACTATTTCAGCAGTGCCCTTTCCTCTAGAAAAGAGTTACGCAGTGTGTTATTTATCATCAGCATAATCATTGCCATCATTGTCAATTTGCGTTTGTACAACTAAAAAGTATATTACCCATTTATAAATTTGAAACCGGTTTATTAGCCCACGTAGGTGTAGGTTATTTAGTCTCTCTAAAAACAGGTAATGGAGACATCAAATCAAGGGCCGATCCACTTCACAACTACTAAAACAATGTAACGGCATTAAATAGTATGGCCACATTTGATGTCGAAAGATATTTGTAAATCTTTTGGAGTTTGAAGTTTATTCTTTTCACTATCTACAACCTGGTTGATATGCAGTGAGATGTAAAGGCTAAGAAAGACATGGGCAGACTTCCAATGAATAAACATTAACTTCTTCTCTGTTTAGACAGAGCAACCCATCTCCCTAAAAAGCTTATAATGCAGTAAACCATGATTTACTGAGACCAAGGCAATGTCACTGGTGTCAGCTGACCGGCTGAAACAACAGAATCCATTTTCCGTTCAGTTAAGCCCTCAATGTTACTGAAAGCTAACTAGCTCCTAGGCTTGTTAAGATTTTTGTTCCCCATTTTTTTAGATTCCAGCGGTAATCCTCATCCTGTAAACGTCGCGCCATCAGATGGAGCATGAATTTGCCCTCTTCCTAGGCTTAGGCTCCCCAAAGTCCCTGTCGTCGGCTGCGCAGTGGCTGAAGGAGCAAATTGTCTGCGAGAGCCTTCGCATGCCCAGGCGGAACACACTATTAGACAGGCTGTAGATGACACAGTTGCAAAAGCTGTTGCTAATAGCCAGCCAGGTGGTGATGAAGGAGAGGGCAGGGCTGTCCAGCACATGGGAGCTCTCTAGCAGGAAGTAGATTATGTAGGGCAGCCAAAGCATATAGAATACACTGGTGATGCGGAACAGCACCATCGCATAGCGCCGATCGGGGCCGTGCCCCCCATGGTGCCCACTGGCGCCCCCCTCACCGGCCTCCATCTCCTGGCTGGGGAAACGTGCCCGCCGTTCACTGATCTCCCGGTTGTGCTGCTGGCAGATGCGAAAGATATGGTAATAGGTAAAACAAACCACAAGTGCCGCGGGCGCGTAAAGCAAACACACCACGAAGCCTGTGAAGAGGGCAGAGGTGGGCCAAGAGTGTGCACACCACTCAAAGATGTCCCCATGATAGCCTGGCTTTCCCCATCCGAAGAAGGAAGGCAAGAAAACCAGGCTGGAGTACACCCAAATTAGAGTGATGCAGCCTCGTAGTCTGCATGGCGTCACCAGCTGGTTGTAAGACAGAGGCTTAGTTATGGCCAGGTAGCGATCCACACTGATACAAGCCAAGCAGGCCATTGAAACGCTCTTCAGAACGGAGATGACGTAGCTGAAAACCTGGCACGTGATGGGCTCTTGAACACCCGCGGGGTAATGGAGCAGAGACAGGGTGGGAACCAGGCAGCTAAGACCCACCAGCAGGTCGGCGTAGGCCATGGTCTGGATGAAGTAGCTGGTGGTGTAGTGGTGAAGTAGAGGGGCACAGTGGAACACAAAGATCACCGTCAGGTTTCCTGCAATGATGAGCACCGTCAGTAGTACAATGACAGCAGTCTCCAGGACGCACGCCTCCAGGCCTTCGTTCAGTCCCCAGCCCAAGGGACAAGAGTGGTTGGCGGACCTGTAAGGAACAAAGTCTCCATGACTGCTGTTGGCAGTGAGCGGCGGGTCCGTTGTCAGTCCAGACTGGTTCATTGTTTTGGGTGCTGTCCAGGTGGGTCAGGTTTGTGGTGTGTCACCCATGAGGCAGCCGGCCTGCAACTGGAGTGCCTGCCCCCCACCCCATCTACATAGGGTGCCTGCAGCCTTCTTCAGTTCACCAAGCTCAATACTCTCGCTCTCTCTCTCTTTCACCAGACTCTCACATAGCTGGGTCTCAATCAATTGAACACGGACTGGAGGAAAATCAATACAGCCTCTGGGCGGGTACGACAACTCGTTTAGCTGTCCTTTTCCAATCAGGCATGGTTGGTACACGTAGTGGGTAGGTTACGGTCAGTGGTAGAGTGAAAGAAGCTGTATAGCTTCAGGAAACCAGGGAGCATTGGCGCAGTGGCCAGCATCTATTCCGAAGGCGGGCAGCCCTGCTGCTTTGCCTGCAGGTCTGTGGCCTCGTCCCCTGATGCTAATGAGGGTTGCCACCGGGATGCTGATGGCATACGATGTCCAAACGAGGGCAGACGACACCATATGAAGAGGTTAAAGCACGAAGGCGCGCACAATGCTCGGCACTATTGACAGTTCCTCACAGGAGATCAAACAGGTAAGCAGCACATCAGATTAAATGAACTGAATGTGGTTATAATTCAATACAAACTATTTCACCAAAGTCTGGAAAAAAACGACATCCTTCTCCAAAAATAGACCATTGAATTAAATCCAAAGTTCCGCTGTGCTATGGGCGGTAGTGTGTTTACAATGTAACACCAGGCTTCCTTTAGTTGGTGGTCCTCTGGTCAGTGTCTGGAGCCCATGTATGCCCAGCTATTGTCTGAATCAAAACACAGACACAGGCTAGAACAACATGGGGATCTCCGCATGAGATAACGTCACAGCTCTCTCGGCACACACGGCGCTCAGGGCAAAATGTGTTTACGAGGCATCCCACAGCAGAATGAGGTATAAACCAAATTGCCGAAAAATGTCCAGATGAGTTTTGCTATTCAAGTGATTTAAAGTGAGTCCAAAAGTGCAAACTTGCCTCTCAGGGTTCTGGACTGCAAGTCGCAAAAGACAAAACACATGTAAAAGTCCAGTAAAGGGTGAAAGTGCTGAATGTAGAATGTCCCATGCAGGCAGGTGGAAGGACTCTCCTGGAGCAATAAGAGGCCAGCTGAATAACTCAGCGCTCCTCTCGCTTCAACTCCTCAGCAATCCTGTGGCAGACACTTTGAGAGCGGCGTGTGGCGATCAATCTGCAATCCATCTATTTATCCCATAAATGTGTGTTGTTGCTGCTGTGACATTCTGAAGCATTGGCGGGGGAGCATCAGCACCTTCTCCTCAAGTGCTTAATGCGACCATAGATTTCCTAACTTGCTTTCGTGCTCTGAAGTATGCACTAGTTTGAAGAGGCACGGGGTCCTACAACTCCTCTCTCAGTAGGTCTGTCGTCCTCAACGAAACAGTGGCAGGGAATCCACTCTAGCAGCGTAAAAGAAAGTCCTAGTCGGAGTCCCAGTTTCAAGCACTGTCCTCTGCAAACGTCCCCATGATTCTGTTAAAGTGTACAACCCGCGTCTTTAATCAAGAAATCCTTAGATCCTGGATACAGATTGGGATGAATGGAATGCATCTGTCAAAAGCAGCAAGTGAAAAGCCAGAAAAAAAAGATGACTGCGTTGATGGAAATGAGTTAAATCTGCAGCGATGGAAGCGAAGGGACGAATAGTCCCTCAGCCCTGGTGCAGTGAGAAGGAGAGATGCTGTGACTGGCTTACACTTCCCACCCTCCCTCTCCAGACAATCGCTCTAGCTTGCACACTCAACCTCGCTCTCTCTCTCTTTCCATACACACACAGACACAATCACACACACACACGCACACGTACCCTCCCTTTTTCCTGCTCTCTCTCAGCTTCTCACTCATTGCCCCGCCTCCTCCCATCCCAGCTGCACCTGAGGCTCCCTTCCACATTATTCTGTCTCGCACTCTGGCTTTCTCCCGGGGGTAAATTTGGATACATTTCCTATTTACATATTACTTATCTTTCACAGTCTGTTTTCTATTAACTAAAGTCCCCCCCAGCTCCCTCCTTTTTTTTTCCTTCCCTGTGAAGACCCACTAAAAATACCTTCTCCATATATCTACCTACCCAAGTAAGTTTTAAAAAACAGTTCTATTTAATTGCTATATTTAAAAAAAAACATTGAACAGAGCATTGAATAAATAAATATCACCGCAAAAGGTAGTAAATATAAATCTCATGATGTCTTAGGAGTCACTCATACTAGCTTTTCTTTGGTGGAAGGAGGGAAGACAACGCTTTTTAGTGTATTCATATAAGAATACGATGTTCATGAATACAGGTTGACCCTCCCCTCCCATAATTCCATTAAACATTGAACAGGTATTATTCTCGTAAAACAGGTCCATTATCCTCGTCCAGCAGGGCTGCAGGTTCTTCTAGACACTTTATTTTTCTTTATATAACCAACCGCTTTGCACAGTTATGCCTGCCCCTTGGTTACAGTTGCCCAGCATTTCAGCCAGTTGGGTGCATCCTATGGCGGCAGATGATAAGGCGGATCAAGTGACAGCAAACTAAGCAGAAGGGAGGATGGAAAGAAACTGCAGAGCATTGTGACTGGGAAGGAGAATATTGCAAAGACAAAATTTAGAGCAACTTTGCTGGCTTTTTTTTTCAAAATATTAAAAGGCATAAGAATTAGTGCGCCATGGCTGCGAGTTGGATGGAAAAGAGCTACTTTGGAAACCAACACAACACCTGGCTGATTTGAGTGGGAGTGTAGTGGTTTGAGTATTTGTAAAAAACACAAAAAAGGTTAGAAGGGAGCAAATAGAAGTAAAATCCTTCATGGAAGACAATAGACACCCAGTCAACCAAACAAACAAAGGAACGCTTGGTGCTGTTGATCGATGTACAAAAACATCACTCAGTAGTTCAGGTTCATTAAAAATGAACATAATAATTCAGAAATTGTTACTTATGAGGTATTACATCCACTCAATGTTTAACGTCAGTGTAGCTGTGATTGTTTGCCAGATGATGGACTTTCCTTTAACATCATCGTAACCTACAATATATTTGCCGTACTGCTTTGTTTGGATTGTTTTAGGGGATTCTCACAGGCCTGTCTGCTAAGATAAAATGAGACTATTTAACTTCAGTGAAGTGTGATGTGCCTACGGTTTGAATCAGTGTGTTTCATACAATGGGATTGTGAACTGGAGTGCGAGATAGTCCGCCATGCAGAAGGATGGCTCTTTAATTGTCATGGAGAGCAGATATTCTTTTGCATCTGCATTTGTTAATTTGGTCATTCAAGAGAAACAGTGTGATGGAAAACTGGGGAGAAGGGTCAGAGGAAAGGACGGAAAGCTAAAAATAAAGACGGACAAAGTGAAGCCCAAAACAAAAGTTGGTTGCGACAGTTCTGCTGTCACTGCAGAAGGAGCCAGTCAATGGAGATCACTCAGCACAGGGCTCTTCACCTGTGGAGGTGGACACGGATGAAAAACACGACCAGAAGGCCACCGTTAATAATTCATTCTGCTCCAAAACAAAGCCAGCGGGGCCACTTGGAAACAAAGGTGGAGTCTGATTCACCTTTCACTGCTTCCCAGCATCCCACCCTCCTCCAGCTGAAACCAGCCTCGACAGTAATGCGTTGGCATAAGAAGGCAGTTAAAATCAACACGATCCACGGAAACTCACACTACACAGAGAGGATGAAGGAGGTTCACCACCTTGCCGAAGGACATTTTACTGGAATACAGTAATTCAATGAGTGGCGTTTATACATTCAGCACATTTCTAGAGCAGCCAATGCACTGAGCTCGCTCAATCAATAAAATAAAACAAATTACCAACTTAACACAAATACGTCAAAGGCCTTTCTATAGAATCAAGCGAAAATTCTAAAAAGGGTTATTACGACTCTGGCGGCCAGCTAAACGCTTATAGCGGTCAGTGTTGTAGGTCCTGGTCAGTGTCTGTACAAGATCTGCACGGGTTGCTGGATTGAAACTCACAGAAAAGCAGCAACAGATGATGGTTACATCATGAGCGATTGCTCAAGGATCTAAATGACCAGCGGATGTATACAGTCACACCAATGGTCATTAGTATGGAACGACTTGACAGCAGTTTGCCTTAAAGGCAAACCTTAAAAACATCTGGCACCAAAGAAGACGATAGATCACTGACAACATTAGTTGTTACTGGCTTACAGGATGCCTGCATCGGACATTTGGATTTCATAGATTGACAATAAATTCTTGTTTTCATTCAGATGTGGTTGTGGTTACACACAAGTGAAATGCTGCATTAAGTGATCTTGTACAAGGCCAAATTTAATTTAGTTCTAAAAGGCCGTTGTAATAAGTTTGAAAAGGAGCAAGCTATGAATATAGTTTTAAGAAAGTACTGGTAATGAAACCACATTCTACAATTCTTCAATAAAACTGACAACATATATGAAGGGGAACATGTCCAATGTAAATATAATACCTATTATCACAGGTCACCACTTTATGTGGAACACCCTTAATATCTACGTCCATATTCCCCGGCAGTACAATGTCACCGTCTCCATTGCGTAAACCGGGTTTGCTGCCGTTAATGCTGAAGAGAAGCTAAGGGTCAAAGACAGACAGAAATCCCCATCCATCATCCTCATCTTACCTCGCACCACAAGGCGTTGCAGACCTGTCTAAGATACTTATATTGATTATTCTGTAGCAGCTATTGTTCTCGCACCATGTAGGTCAGAATGTAACATGCATCTCTAAGTAAAGGCGGAACGCACAATTAGTCCATGTGCCTCTACCCAAAGAAGAATGAATTGATATGTTTTGAATAAAAGCTTAAAAGGCAGGTCATGGCTACATTTTGTGTTTGTATTGTTAGCACCGCTAATACACAGGCAATAACTTTCTCATAGTGGCGGGTCCTGTATGTCACTGATGTTTTTGTCGCGGTATGCAGCACTATTATTGATTATGCTACAAATCTGGGTCTTCTATCAGATTTTTTTCTGCTTGTACCAGGAATAAATTGCAGAACTTAAATATCCAGTGTGAAAATCATTACTACATCTGAAATGTAGTAATAAGAACAAATGAATGTGACAGTGGAGAGAAGCAAGAAGGAGAGATCTACTGTAGCTCTGAGGCTACGTTCAGTATGACGACTGAGACAGAGAAGTGTTGTGACCAGGGAAGACACCGCGGGCTGCATCTCCTAAATCCGAACTGTCGTATCAGTGTCAGCATGGCTAGGAGGCTATGCTAACACGAGCATAGCGGATACACTCACTACTGTCACTCTTCACAAACACTTTAAATCACACCGTTGCTATTACATGGGGAATTTCTATCCACCAAAAATTCTATGAAAAGCTATGTACCTGTCTAAATACTGAAAATCAATGATTATTTTATTATTTTTAACTGGATATTAGGTTCAGTTGAACTGGTTTTGTCATGCTTATGTGAACGGTAGCAGACGGGCTGCATTATAGAGAGGAGGATAGGAGGGGTGCTGTGAATAGACCTATATTCTCCATCCAATGCAGCTGTTCCCTACAGATACTGTAATGCAGCATGGGATAGTGGGAAGGGAGTGTGTGTGTGTGAGAGAGAGGCTTTGATTGACAAGACCTTCCTCAAGGATTTTTTTTTTCCATCCATGAATGGTGGGAGACCTCAAACTAGTGGCACGGCACGCAACTGAGGAATTATGTTATATATTTGCATGACGGGTCTCTGTGTATGTATTCATACAGTATTTTCAGCAATGGGTTAAAACATTGAAATGTTAATAGTTTGAGACAAAAAACACAGGGTTTCATTTTCTAATTTGACATCAGCATTACCAAGGTTTCGTCCATCAATAGCAATATGTAAATCAATGTACATACACACTGGAGATGTGCTGTATCATTAAGAACACAAAGTAATCCCAATAATGTATATTATTAGCAATATCAATCTCTTCCTCTCATTTTATGAAGAAACTATCCTAGTGACTGCAGTTGTTAAAGGAAGGTTGGAAAGTGTGTATTCCCAATCAGCTGGCCACCTACTCAGTTTCCAATTATCTAAATATCAAGTACTTAATGAACTGAGGCAGAGGCTAAAAGACAAAGATGAAAGAAGGACTCGTCATGGAAACAACTTCAACCTGAAAGAACTCCATAGACCCCTGCAGTTACCATGGTAGCCTACGTTATGTACATTGTACTCTGCGTATCTGTATGTGGGTTATCAGGCGTGGGTGTAGTATTATTCCAGCCTGGTTGCATGGCTGATGCTACCTTTGATTGTACACCGGCGTCAAATGTCATCGCTAAGCTGGCGCCTGACTTCAATATGATTCAACATCAAAATGCAAAGCACCTCACAGCCCCGGTCTACTTTGCGCCTCTATTTCATTATATGCTGTGTAAAGAATTAAGGTGAGCTGGTTCCAGTCACATTCCAGCATAGTTCAGGAGGGAAATTAAAAAAACGACAGACACGTAAAATCTTTTGAAAATGAATCATACTGTCATAATGTGTCCAAATAAGCATCAAGATGAAGTACAGGGGTTGGGGCCCTTTGCAGAGACACAACACAGTCCCTAAGCAAAAGACAGCGAGGCCACAATATGATATCTAGGTATCTGTAGACTTAACAATAATAAATAACATCAAGGATTTATGTAGAAATATGCTTTTCCGGCCCATACATCGATTCCTGAAACCACGTACATCCATCAACATCAATGGTGCTCTATCAGAATTAAAATCAGTATATATACACAATACAGAAGCAACTTTAGCAACAGCACAAGGGTCCGCACAGCCTGCTGTGATGAAACCGCTGCCCGAGGCCTCCGGCGACAGCCATCGAACCTGTGGAGAAATGCTGACCCCCCGTTAACACACTCGCTGCGCCGCGAGTTTGATCGGTCTTCAGTAACGGCGGCCCGGCAAACTGCTGGCTGAGGTTCTTTAAGCTGTCGGTTCAAGCGAGGCAGCGCGCCTTGGGCTTGTCCGGCTCCAGGGAGACGGAAAGGTTGTTCAAATGTCACTAGCGACCACGCCGGACCACCCCAACCTTGAGCCCAAACACGGTGCCGCGCCAGCCGAGGAAAAAAAAGGCATTGGTGAATGTCTCCGATGCCTCACGGCCATAGTGTCTGTGGGGGAGAGTGTGTATTCGTGACTCCGTGTGTGATGACTGTAAATGAGAGCAGTACAACACTGAACATGACACTCGCTTTCTATGATAGCTGGCCTGCCACGGGCCACACGCCGCTAAATGCTCAGTGAGTTAGTCCGACCCAGTGAGATTCACCTTGGGAAAGAGAGAGGTGACAAGATCAATATAGTCTCCGCACTGTCTTTTAAAAGGGACTACATTATGTTTGTTTGTTAGAATTATATGGTCATTTATCAAAGTTACGGGACAGTCATGAATAGAATAAGTTTAACGCCTCCATTGATTGAATTCTTAATGTGAATGTTTCCTCATTTCGATGCTCAATTTTTATCAAGGGGATGAAATGTCTTTTCTGTCCGGGACTCAATATTCTAATACTGTAACATTCTTAAACTATCCTCACAATCTGTGTCTCAAAATCATGTCACATGGAGTGATATGAATCACATTATAAATCACATTGAGACAGATATTTTACCAATGACGCAAAAGCTTGCCATTTGCCAGCATATTACATTACATTACAGGTCATTTAGCTGACGCTTTTTATCCAAAGTGACTTACACTACATTTTTAACCCATGGCTTTTTACATTTTGCCCGGGGAGCAATTAGGGGTTAGGTGTCTTGCTCAGGGACACTTCGACATGGGACATACAGGACTCGAACCACCAACCTTGTGGTTCCCAGCGCACCCTCTCTACCCCTGCGCCACGACGACCCCGCATATGCTGCATTTGTTTACCTATTTTCAGAGAGCTGGCTTGATTAATTATATTAGAGAATAAGTGCTTAGGATTCATCCCTAAAAATAAAATATATAGGGCGGTAGGACGTTTCCTTCAGGCTGTCTGATACCACAGTCTCTAAAGTCCCTAAAGCCTACAGTTCCAAAGACTTCACAATGACAGAGTGAGCAGCTGCAAGAAAAGGTTGGTTTTATTCAAACAATGTAAAACAAATAAACACCTTTTGACTCTTTTTCCACCCTTTTGGGTCCAGCATGTCGATGCTGTAAATTCTTTGAAAAAAAAACATATTAAACTGATGATCAGTGGATAATGTGTTTTGTTCTCATGAATAACTCATAACTCAAAATGAAAAATAAAATAAGTCACCAAGTAAAATACAGGAAAGAGAAATGTTTCGGTGACGTAGGATTAAGACTAAACACTGCACACGGTTAAACACATGAACACTGCTGATTTATGACACCGATACCCCTTCCATAAAGGACGACGGCCCAATAACTTCAAATTCAATCAGCATTAACGTCGTCACTGAGCCCGTACAACAGACATTAATAAGCTCCGCATCGCCCTCAATGCTGCCGTCTCTCTTCCCTCTTTCCCGCCCTCCTCCATCTTCCCTCAGTTCCATTCATTTGGCGCAGCTATTAATAGCCCGGCCACCCGCCTATCAATACCATCACAACTCCAGCAAGACAGAGGCTGCGGGCACGGCCCAGCAAACAGAACGAGAATAAATGCACCGAACTACTAAAGCTTGGCCTGAGGTAAGGAGAGCAAAGGAGAGGAGGGGACGGGGGGGGATGCAACATGAAGAGCAAAGAGAAAAACGGTTCCAATTTAACGAACAAAGACGGTGACAGAAAGTGAAAGAGAGAAAGAGAAACTTACTCAGTAAGGCTGAAAAACAACTGAAGGTATGTGACTCAGGAAAGATTCTAATCTGCCAGCGCTCCTGATGTTTACACACTTTCCTTTTCTCCAATTCTCCCCCAGTGACTACGACCTCATATTTATGGGTCCACACTCCACTTTCCTCTACCCATTTCTCTTCTTTCCATCTACCGCCCCCTCTTTCGCTATTCTCATTGATCGCAGCAGGTGCCTGCTTCTATGCGTCAAAAAGAGAAAGAGAAAAAGACTATTGCATTAACCATAAAAGCATAAATCTATGTTTGCTTTCTGTGTTTATATCACCTCCTATTACTTCTGCAGGGCCTTTATAAAACTACCTACTAGCCAACAAACGTTGACTCGCTACACATCCAAAGATGGGTCACGGAAGTGGTTCACCAAACAGCGTGATAACAATTGGAACACTTCGCTTTACTTGGATTAATAACCATTTAAAAACAGTAAAGCAATGCCTAAGATGAAAAAAACATTAATACTGATTTCATGAAACTAAGGCAATACAACTAATCAAACCAAACCAAAGTAATATTCACCGGATTAGAGTTGAACGTGATCTACAAAAGATAAAAATGCCTTTTCATGCATTGTAACTCGAAATGAAGAGCAAACGAGTACTCTAAAACCTGTAATTATTGATTGACAATGAGACAAAAGGACAATAAAGGTTTGTAACTGTTAGTTTGCCACACAGTTAGAATTCAATAATAATCCAATTTAAAACTTCTTTCCATGTGTGCTCCCTGGCGCATTTTGGTGAACATATTCAGCTATTTTGTTCTAGCCATGTACAATTAAAAGAGTAATAATTCTAGAGAAAAAAATTATAAAAAATTATGTTTGTCTTTTCTTTAATAGAATAGAGCATCTATAATGACAATAATGACAATTGGAAAAATTGTCAGTTAATTTTACTTTACACCTATATATTTGTTTCTTCGGAGTAAACAAAAATATTTTAAAAAGGTAACAATGATTCTTTTTGATCCATCCAAAGACCGCACAACCTTAAATCAAGCCTAACAAATATAAAACAGTATAAATGCTAAATGTCCTAAACTTAAATTTGAAGTTTGCCAAGTTCCCTGGGAGGCTGAAGGGGGAACCTGAGCTGTAATAGTTCTGAGTTCGCACTACGGACATTGAAATGTCTCCAGCTCCAGCAGATTTAGATCTCGAAAGGCAAACAAGTTAATCTAATGGAATATAAACACTGTCTTCCATATTTTAAGTCTATATCGTGTCAAGAGTATCTCTTGACTTTGTTAGTAGGCCTTTTTCTATCCAGCGCTGAGACAATATCCGCCTGTTGGCGTTTCAGCCCACACGTCAGTTTATGAAACGGAAGCCGCATGTTCAGTCTACAAACACCTCACATACTTTCAACAACAAAAATATAAATGCCATTTTTTTATTAGCATTGTCCCTCCCTGATGTGTGTGTGTGTGTGTGTGTTTACCTTGGTGATGAGGATACGGTAGTGCTCAAGCAGGTCGTAGTTGTCGTGGCAACCGGCCAGCAGCTGCCAGACTTCAGCTCTGAGTGGCTCGGGAATGCCGCTGCGAACCAACGAGGGCAAACCCTTCGGTCGAGTGGACAGGTTTCCATGCCTGATACACACCACACAGAGGTAATCCATTATTTCATAATCTCACTTCATGCAATACAGCCACTTTAGATATCAGTGCACCTTGACAGATTTTATCATGATTTTGAAGGGTAGTTAGGAGCCCAACCGAGTCAATCAAGTGCAGATATTATACGCCTATTACAAATAAGTATTAAGTATTTATGTTGCACTCATAGGAATACTACTTTGTCTTAATAACAAAGCACTTATTCAGTAAAGTATATTTAGACAAGAATGCATTACGTTTTTCACCCTTACTTCTGATCGAGGCCAGGTTGGGTTGATTGAACACCTGCTTAATTATTCACACTGGTATACACCTTTACAATGGAATCTGCCAAATACATCCAGAGATTCCAGCTGTGGTTGAGCTGCATGTTCACTAAAGCAGCTACGGGTTCACTGCCTCACTCAAACACCCGGAAATCAAAGTGTTAACTTCAGTATTGATCAGTGTTCTGTCAAGTACAGGTAATTGATATTATTAACTACATTTTTAATCAAATGGGGTCGTCGTGGCGCAGGGGTTAGAGAAGGTGTGCTGGGAAGCACAAGGTTGGTGGTTCGATTCCAGGCTGCCCCATGTTCCATGTCGAAGTGTCCCTGAGCAAGACACCTAACCCCTAATTGCTCCCCAGGCAAAAATGTGAAAAAGCCATGGGTTTATGTAATGTGTAATGTAAGTCGCTTTGGATAAAAGCGTCTGCTAAATGACCTGTAATGTAAAAATGTAATGTAATCAAGGTACCACATCTCTCTGGAACCAAATCAAGGCCAAAATTTTTGATTGTTTGTAAAAGAAAAAAAAGGTGCTTTGGTCTTTAACATACAACAATGTATTCAAAATGAAAATAAGTAGACAAAATGTATTTTGGGGTTGAATATAGCTTCAACTCAGTTCAGTCTCAGTTTTTCCATTCTTCACTTGTACATATTTAATATTTGTGATATTATATTTTTAAGTTGCAGATTTTATGTTTTTTTTCACTTTCAGATTGTATTTTCAGACTTTGGGCCTTGATCTGACATAGGAGGCGTGGCATCAACTCCCACATTCCCTCCATTTATGTTTTCTCAATTTCACCAATCACTTCTAAACTCCAAATTTGTATGTGTACCATTCCTACATTTAGACCGTCGAGCTATGTGCAAATCCATCATTTCATTTTTCTTCATCCTCATCTCCTTTTCTTGTCCATAATCAAACTGAGAGATCTACATTTTAATTACTCATTTTCCAAATTGCTTAGTCCCTTGGTCTGTTTTGAAGCCTTACCATCTGGTTAGGAGTCCTCCCCAGGACTCGAGGATTTTCTCAGGACAGTCTTTGGAAACGTCTCCTGTCCCACTCGAGATTTCACTGTCGCTATCTGCGCGCAACAGAAACACACCCAGATATCAAAATACCTTTCAAGCACAGATGGCTCATTGCAGGTATCTGTAACCTCTGCCCACATGGAAACAGTGCTAACACCAACAAAAACATGACCTTCAACATTGTCTGCATGAATGTTGACGACAGGATCAAATTCCCCTCACGGAGGAGATTCTTTAAGAACAGAGACATCACTCTGTTGTAATGGGATGTATGTCTCGAATATCTTTTATTTGATCCAGGCACTCTGTATTGCACATTTAAAAACCTGTTAATATTGATGCCAGACTCAAATGGAGGAAGGAGTAGCAGCGTCTACACTTCCCATTATTGCCGTTCTTCATTCTGGTGGTTGTTGAGGAAGACGAGAGGCAATCAGCACAGCCAACCACTTGTGTTTAGATGCAGAAGCACTAATTGACCATCTGGCTTAGTCTGCAGCTAGAGAGCGGAACTTATACCCGTACATATCCTTGCACACACAGACTCAAGAGTCGTTCCAGCACATAGTGCACTGTAAGAATAAATGGGGGCAAGAAAACCGTCGCGTCAATGAACTTCTCAGGGTTTGGCCTTAGATTTCACTGATATCGCAACAATAAATCTTAACTGCAACAGCCCCCACAAAAGCTTCCAAAGCTGGCAGTCACTCTCATTGAAGCCTTTACCGAGGCCTTGGCATTAAATAAAGAGTTAAGACATTTTCTTCATGAACATGCAGCTGCTTTGCTCCAATACCTTACAGCTTCAGCAAGAGCTTTTCGGGTCTTTATAAACGCTTGATGAGCCCTTTCAAATGGTTCAGGCCCAGCACAAAGCTGCTGCGTCGGTCCTCAGATTGGCTGAGGCCACGTGGCGAGGAAGCGTGAGTCCAATGCTACTGACAACTCACCAGATGATGAAACAAACTGTGAAGGCGAGGACAATTACGGTTACCTTTTAATCTAGAGAAGGGCTTTGAATTCACTCTAGGATTACTCTCAAATAGGATCTCTCTGATGTTGAAGCCACTAGTGGATTGGTTTTGTCTACATTAAAGTCAGCAGAAATGACCTACCGGTGCCATGAAGATGTTCTACCTTTAATATTTGACTTTATTCTTATGTATTTTACGCCCTTCATTTTGAAAATCAATGTCCTTCACCCGGCTGTATTTTTTCAAAACCTTTCCTGAAATAAGCTGTATGTATGATATATTGCATTTATTTTAGCAATTGTTTTTACCTTAAATAGAATGGAGGCCGTTGCATGAGCTGGTGGCTTCTTGACATCTCCTGTCGCATTCATTTCCATCGATCCATAAATTATCTTTTGTATGGGCAAACATATAATATATATATATATATATATATATATATACACTGTATATGCATATTTGCATGAATGTTTGTATATTTGGGCAAACAACAAAAAAACACAATGCAAATCACAAAAAGTCTGCAGGATATTAAAATAAAACCCCAAAAAGACGTCTGCTTCAGGGCAATTTTCCCCATTGCAGAAAGTGTGTGTATGCTCACTACAGTGGGATCTATGCTAGAAGTGTATTAATTTCTGTACATTTCAACAAGGCTGACCTTCAGCTGCACACAGCTGAGCGCCCTACAATTTTCAGCCCTGGGGAAGGCGTGCATTATAGAAAGTGCACTCTTAAAAGCTTCCCCCAGTGCAGTTTGAAAGCCATCGGCGCCAGCCTTGGCAACTGACTCCTGACTTTGGGTGACAGTTTTTGCTTAGGAGTAAAGGACTCTGTAAACAACAATCCAGTAGCATTGAAGACAGTGGAGATGTAACAGTGGAAACTCATTTTTGTTGAAGTTTATTATTTAGAGTTTTTTGAATCTCTGTGCTGAGAACAATGTTCAAGCTCTGCTCGCCCGGAGACAGATGGAGATTTGTGCCTGGGATGATCAAGAGTTGCTTATAGAGGTTATAGTAAAGATACTATGTAGCAAAGTATTACACGCTTTGCCAGTAGTTTAAATTGGTGTACACTTCTATTCACTTCCACCAACTTGTATTGAAAGTGATGTGAGGATGTGTCTATTTAGTCTAACACACACACAATATAGAAAAATGCGAACTTTTATTCGAACAGACATCATTAAGCCGAGCTGCGACCAGGTCTAATCCTCGACAGCTGCGTAGCCGAGGCAGTAGTCAGGTGTAAATGCCAGCACGGTTTATATTGGTGGGCTTGAACTGGGTGCATGTTTGCAAACCATTAGGGGTCTAACAGTCAGTTTTGGTGGTTTTAAATATATTGCGGATTACCTTCCATCCCTGTGGCATACAAGCCGTAATATTGAGTGGAAAATATAGTTATAGTTTATGTACCTGAAGAAAATGAACCGTTACTGTTGATTCACATCAGCCAATCAATATCACAGCGTGAAAAACACAAAAGGTTCGTGTTGGTAAACCACTATTTTAGACTGAATATCTCAACATTAAATCTAAATTTGGAAAAGGGTGTTCATGCCACAAAGAAAACGCTGTAAAGGATTGTAAAAGGAAGTAAATGCTCCCTCTGCCAAGCTATTTGTGGTAGAGAAATGATTTGTATTTCTCTACTATTAAAGACAGCCATTTTTACAGCGCAATGCAATGTTTGAAACATGCATGATTTGGAAAAAAAACTTATTTTGAGATCTGCCTGCATATTTATACCTATATTTATATATTTATCCTGGCTAGGCTTTCTGATAAAGTATTTCGGTATTCTGTCATTTTATTTACAGGCAGCGAAAGCCTCACTGACTTTTCAAAGATTTATAGAATCTGCAGGATTGGTGATTATGTCATTGGCATAGCTATTATATCTTGTATATGATTAACTCAAATAGTCAGAGGGGTAGAAACCGAGCAAACGAGGACAGAGCCTGACACAGAAAAAAAAAAAAAAAAAGAGACATCCATACCTTCATCAGCCTCCTCTTCCTCGGTGGGCGGGGCCAGTCGTCCTTCGTTGCTCCTCTCTGCCTCCCTCTGAAGACTCACCACCTCATAAACAGCATCGCTCTGACCCAACCTCTCTGGTGTCTGCTGTAAACACGCGCACACACACACGCACACGCACACACCTCATCTTAAGTGGAAATAATTACATGCTTTTAGAAACTCTTTTATGTTGCTAATTATAAAGTATTAGAATTCTTTGATAAATATGGCATCGGATGCTACCAGCTACTACAGAGATGCTTTCTTTCTGCAAAGTCATTCCATTATACATGCTGCATGTGAGCTGCCAACAAAGTACAGTAATTCAAAAACAAATTGTCTCAAGGCAGCGATGCACCTTACCCGTTTGAGTCAATCAGGTGATATAAAGGCTTGAGAGCCCTGAGCACCTTGTATTCAACATGTAAGACTACAAACTCCATGGCACCATTACGAAGGTTTCAGCCAACACGCAGTCATATGAACCAGAACATTTTATATCAATGATCACAACAACAATTTCATGTTGTAGTCCAGGGTGTGGCATGTGTTTAATACAGCTCTCAACTAAAAATCCAAAATCCATAACAACAGACTGAAGGAATGCATTGGGAACATAAACACCAGCGGACTTGACCTTGGGTCCCATAAACTGCTGTTGTTTATTTCTGGTCTATTCCATTTCTGTATATCTGTTGATTCTCCTGCACCTGGTGGAATGGATCAATGAGCTGCATTGATCTGCCCGCTTGCGTGGTGTCTAATGACCAACTTGAGTCAGTGATGAGTGAAAAATGGGAGAGAAGATCACGCCTGGTCTATTTTAAGGGAAACTCTGCAGAGGCTTAGGTATGATGTTGGCTTTGTTATAGCTTGGGGGGGGGGGGGGGGTTGTTAACCCAAGAGGGTGAATTATTAAGACTAATAACATTGTGACAGACAGTTGGACCAGACACACACGTGAAAAACAGCTTCACCAGTGGGATTTCTAATAAGATAAAGGCAATTATTCCAAATTGTTCGTTCCCACATTAGGAAATAACAGTAATTTATCCTTAATGTTACTTTATAAATTGTATTTATTACCATTGTATCTCCTTAAATAACCGGACAGTTAGTGTATTTCTTTTGTAACATCACCAAAAGCAAAAGTTGTTACCATATAAAACAAGGACAACCTCTCAATGTCGGCTCAATATTTCAGCTTTTACCTTAAGAGCCTACAAGCAAGTGACTTTTTATTCGTTAGATTTGTTTTATTCCTTCTTGCTCTTAGTCTAAATAACGTAGAATCAACCCTGTCCTGTCTGGACACGACTTATTCTGGAAATTAACTTGGATTCGACACATGCGGTGTAGCATTCAGCCTTCTTCCCTGTAAAGCAGATGCCTAATATATTTTCCAGTTATGTGCACACACAAAAAAGGAGGAGTTGACACAGATAATGTCTCCCTGGTACTTGACAGTTTTTGACCAAATAAAGACTGAATATATATCATAATATAATGGAGCAACATATTTTGTGTGTGTATCACCTCTTAAAACCATCCTACACAAAAACCTCCACACAATATTATCTTTTAATTAACTCTTAACCACAGCACCAGTCCAACACTCTTCCATTCACTGAGGAGATAACTAGAGGGGCAATCAGGCCGCCGCTGTTAATTACCCACATGCCAATAATGAGACGGAGCCTCTTATTAGCTCCCTACAATCCAAAGCTTCCCCACTCCACTGACTTTCCAGCTCCCCACGGCCTACAAAAGGAGATGTGCTTTTTAACAGCAGAGAAACTGTCATTTTGAAGCACCTGCAGCAACTGCACAAGCTCGGGGTGCTTGTGTTGCTAGGAGGGAAGTAGATCTTCACTCCCTCTCTCAGCACTTCTTACTCAGACAAGTTGTGAGGAAACTCAAAAGGGCTTTGCCGTTATACACTAGAGGGAGTTTCTAGGATCTTGTTTTCTCGGTGCCATCAACCTAACTTGCATCAGGGGATTGTGGCGACTATTATTCGGCTGCCGGGCATCAGAACGGGGTTGGAGTTTAGCACAGAGTTTAGGGAATAACATGTTGCGCATCGACGCACCAGCTTGACGAGGAGAGGCAGGCAGACTGTGGGAGATACACAGATGGAAAGAGAGGAATGAAATCTGATGAGGCAACATTTACATCTTTGAGAATATATCTGTAGCTCTCGATACCATCAAGTGCTTCAGCTCTCTGGGGAACAGCATTTGACTGGTTTCTGACACACCACCATGCCTCCGGATGCCAGCTCTGACCTCCTCCTCCTCCTCTCCACACTTCCTCAAAGCTGCACCACATTTCCCTGGTCTTTGTGGAGAGCTTAGACCAGGTTTCGAAGTAAAGCTAGTGTGGGCTGTGAAGCGCCTTGAGACATATGTGATGTTGGGCTATGTCAATAAACTTGACTTAAATAACCTTGTGAAATCAACATGGCTGACACCTTTCCATGGCCGAGGTCTCGACTGCTCCTATTACAGTACAGAATGATTCGAAGGCACGGCTTCATAAACTGACGAAGAATATGATGTTTAGTATTTATTTCCATAAATTTAACTTAGGTGGAGCAATCCCTTATTTATTTTAAGATATTAACTATCCAACTCTCAACCAATCAGATGAAATTCAAAAGAATCTTCATTTCTGGGCAACCAAAATCACTTAAAACCAACAATTAGGTAGATAATAGACACGATCAGAATAAGTCTATTATCTACCATTATATATATATATATATATATATATATAATACACAAACAATCTATCACACATAAACTGTAGACAGTTGAAACAACTGTCTACAAACAAAACTTTGTGTCAGTGAACCAGAAAGATCATAACCAGATGCAAAATCAGAAAATGGATGCAGGTTCTGTGGCGGCCGTCAGCGTTGGTAGAGATACCTGTCTGAGTTTCAGGTAGAAGGTCTCACTGAAGGTCTTGCGGCTGAAGTACCAGAAGCGTTCGTTTGACGGGTACACCCTGACCAACGTTTCCAGCAGGAAGCGTACCGGCTCCACCACCTCAGTGACGACCAGGTCCACCGCCACGGTCATGTAGACCTGCTTATCTGGAGCGAAGCAGACACAGCGCCAAGCAACGTCAGTGTGGAGATACTTTACTCAATGTCAGGCTGTGAAGCACTTTTACCTACCTGATACTGTTAAATTACATAGTCAAACTTCATTCCATACAATACTAGAATAACAATTTAGAAATCCCTAAATGCAACTGTGAGCTAGGGAGATTTCACTTTTTATCTGACTGGCCTCCACTGGGAGGCAGGAAATCCCTCCATGTGTCCTACGGGGAAGCCCCGCCCCCTAGTGGATAACAACATAATATTAATGTATTTTACTTCTCAACTGATGTTTATAAATGCATTTGCTACTTTAGGTGAAAAGGTGTCAACTTGAGGAGGACGGAAATGAACAACCAGCATCTTAATATAGATTCTGATTTGCAATTCTGATAATATCAGGCACTTGTTTGTATTGAAACTGTATTGTACTGAGAAAGATCTGATGACACATAAAATACTTTACTGTTGGCCAAAAATGTAGACATATCTTTTGTTTCTTCGGGCTCCCCTAATAAATAGCTACATATCATATACCAGATGCAGAAGTCAGCTGATTTAAAAACCTCCACCTATTACCACCAGTTCTACACTGAAATGCACGATAATGTATCAAACACTGTAACTGGTGCCCAATCCTTTAAAATGCAACAAAACGTGTCTTTTAAAAATAATTTCACTTATCTATATCATAATATGGATAATATCATTAACTTTTAAGCATCTCTAAATTGTTTGTTTGTCAGAATGTGGGTACTGTAGATTTACACGAGAAAGCTCTGTGTGTGTGTGTGTGTGTGTGTGTGTGTGTGTGTGTGTGTGTGTGTTCGTGCAGGTTCGAGTGCTTTCCACTGACAGACTTAAATGAGTTAGACTGCTTTGACAGACCCGCCACCCGCCTTTAAGTCAACCTCTAGAGTTTGACTCTTTGAGTCAGCAAGTTGCCAAGTGCTCTAGTTTGTAGGCTGTAAAGTATTTGTGGAGGCAAGCTGAGAGATGCAGTCTGAACATCTCCTAATTCTTCATGCAAAATGTATCATGCACAAAGACCTGCGTAGCTATAAGCTAGAAGAGAGAACTGTGAAGTGAACTGCATAAGAATGATTTTCTCAAAATGCATCTTTTATTTCCATTCCTCCCTTGATTGAGAGTTGACAGCTGTCAGGCTGCATGTTACGCTAGAGTTTGGGTGAAGGCAATTATCACATGGAGGCTCCAACACAAGCACGGCATAATTCTCAGACTTGACCTTGAGCAGTTCCATATCATATACGTGACAACAATGTATGGAAATAAGTCCTGCTTTGGGTGTTTTTTAACGACCAGTAAAACGACTGGTGGGTTCGGCTTGACACAGATTGTAAATGCTGCAAACTGTCACTTAATCAATTACTTTTACGTGCAATATAGTCATCACAGAAGGGAACTGTACATCAGCATTCACGCATTTGACCAACATGCATTTATGCATTGTTGTAATTTACTTTAAGTATTAAAAAGGTTATTTAAAAGTGGACCGGTTGCTGACTTTGCTCGGTGACATATGACTGCAACTTTAATTATTTCATAGCAATATAAATCATTGGATATCTGTGTTACATAGAATAGAATAGGATTTAGGGAGAAAATATGTCCCCTCACCTTTAGGCGTGTCTTCGTTTAGCAGTTGGAAGGCGGCCATGTTGGGGTTCCATGTTCCAGTGATCACATAGGCCTTCCCATCAGAGCTCTTCCCCATTGATGTCTGTGTAGATAATAATGCATGAATTATGTCCTAGTTTTTTTTTTTTTAAATGATTCATGTTAAATATAGATACAGGGAAATGTAACCCTACATGTCATTTAGTTGACGCTTTTATATAAGCCGATTTAAAACTTGCTATAGACAAGTGACATTATAAGTACAATATTAAGGGCTACAATTTGTTTAATGTTTTTAGTCACGGTAGAGTCTGAAGAGGTGTGTCTTTAGTTTGAAGGTTCTCTGCGGTCCTGGTGTCTTCAGAGAGCTTGTTCCACCATTTCGGAGCAAGGACAGCAAACAGTCGTGATCTAGTCGAGTGTTTTGCTCTCAGGTAGGGAGGGACAAGAAGTTTGGCAGATGCAGAGCGGAGAGTGCGGGTCGGGATGTCGGGTTTGACCATGTCCTGGATGTAAGCTAGACCCGATCCATTCACAGCATGGTAGGTGAGCACCAGTGTTTTGAACCGGAGGCGGGCAGCCACCGGTAGCCAGTGAGGAGAGCGGAGGAGTTTCAACAGGAACCCAATTGATTGGTTGGCAAATTGGTAGGAAAAGAAAAAAAACTGCAGGAGCAAACGAAGACTTGCGACTTCAAATTACCATTTGATGACCATCAATTACTCACCAGAATTTCTGAGATGAGATGAAATGAAACCATTAAATATAAATTCAGAGTAACACACGGGAATCATATAAAAGTGGCCATTTTAAGGATAAAGGATTCCTTTAATTGGAGTGCATAAATAAGATTATTGATCTTCGGATCCATTCCTCTGGATATGCTAATTCAGGTGTGGCAGGTTAAATTAGCCGAGGTGAGTTCTGCTCACCATGTCTAGTAGATGCATGCCGCTGTTGCAGACTTTCTGTCCTGGACTCAGCAGCATCCCAAAACACCTAGAGGGAAGACACAGGAGGTACAATCACAAATCAATAACCACCAATTCCGCTGCAGAGTTACAGGCTGCAGTCCCCAGCACAGTGAATCAAAGTACTTCTTTGGATGAGAAAGCATATGGAATATGTAAAACAGCTCACGTGGCCAAACTACCCCGGGGTTTCCCATAACATTATAACGGGGGCACAACACACCATGAAATTACCCCCCTGAGAAAGATATATATAAATATGTTTTTACTGAATGGCTTCAAGTGCCAGTGTTGCTCATTGGTAAATTAAAAAAAGTCATCAATATATTACCGTTGCCAAAATTACAATTAACAAGGAAAAAAAACCCTCAAAAAAGGATCAAGCAGAGGATATCTAAACTTCTTCAGGGCAAGAAAGGCCCCCACTCCTGCAGCCCTAAAACATAGGGTGGCATAGGCAAAGTTACAAAAATATATAAACAGGCAAGCTTCTGTTTTTAATACATCTACGCACAACACTGAAGCAGCAGTTTGAAGTTTGCATCACACCAATCCAAACATAATCCCAAGTCATAAAAGTTGAGTTCCTTCAGCTTTGGGCTGTAAGTGCCATCAAGTGGTCAGGATGGGAATCTGGCAGTTTCAGAAATGTACTGTACAAAAATATATTCATAATGAATCCACCCATAACACAGGCCTTCAGAGGAATCGGTTTAAAGACAAGTGCCAAGTGTCTTGCGAGGCAATATTTACAGGAATAAAGAGTGAATGGAAAGACATGTGAAAGACCACAATTAAAAAATAGGAACCATACTAATTGTTTTACAAAAAAAAAAAAAAAAGAATAAATCATTGTCGATCACGGGCCGTGCCCCACAGACAGGAGCAGCTTTGAACACAATGGGGGTTCCGACAGAGGCTAAAAATAAAAGGAGAGGGCAGGTGTCAGTCTCTGTCTGATAGCGATAGGAGGTGTGAGGAGGTGGAAGATGAAGATGACCTAGTTCTTTGGTGCTGCTAGAACATGTAAACACTAAAAAGGAGCGATGGCAGAAAATGATTCCTCTGTGAGGCCGTTATTTTTTATTTCGCTGGACTCATTTGACTTTTTTCCTTTGTTGATCTTATCGTTTCCCCTCTGCAATATTTGACCGCTAAGTAGGTCTCCTCGTGAAACCTGTTGCCCCATCTGGAGAGTTGTTGTTTAAATTTGTCAGAATTAAGTAATAACAAGACCGTAGACTCGTTACGCTGTGTGAATACCCGGCCTGTTTAGAGCAGTGTTTTTGGAGCTCTGCATAATTAACGCCTTCAGTTAAGCTCATTTGTCTCGCTGAGCCAGCTGCCTTACGGTCTCTGGTGGTGACGGCGACAGTATAGATGAAACGGCAAGTCTCTTTGTAAAGTATAGGAAGTTAAGCCAACCATATACAAAAAACAAGCACAAAAAGAAAAGCCTTAGTGGAAGAGTAGATAGATATGTACACATTTGATGTCTGGCAACTTCCACACTTCTGGAAAGGGAAGTGCAAGATTTCCTGAGGAAAACCTAAACTATACAGTAAATAAGATTAAAGCGCTCGTGAAAATTTGGTGATAAACACCTTCACGAACACGCGCCGCCCCCCGGGGAAGGCGACCAGGACATTGTCATGCATCATCTGTTTTTACAGTAATCCTCACCTCTCGATTCCCAGCTCCTTGTTGCACATTTGCTGAACTGAAACAACGACCTTCTTCTGAACACCCTGTCGAAGCTTGAAGTACAATTTATCTCTGTCCTTGGGCACCGGACTGTAGAGGGGGAAAACAGAGGGGGGGGGTCAACATGTATAAACTTAAGGAAATTGCGGTAATTCAATTAAGAGCTTGTATATTATTGCGCTGTGACATATAAAGTAATTTTTAGTGCATTTTCACTTGATGATCATAGAATTTATGTCATTGTTATTATTTGTTTAATGTGTCCTAATACAATCTTTTTTTGCCAAATCTTCAGGACCTTGATATGACTGACCGAGTTCAAGATAAAACACAACACATCTTTCCTCACGTCCTCCCAGAGTTTTATATTTTATGGTTGTCTGCAGTACTTTCAAAACAGCAATTGGGCCACTTTATCGCGCAGGAGATGAAAATCCATCATTAAAATACTCAATACACAATGGCTCGGGAAAATAGAAAAATACTTTTAAAGTGTCGATAAGCTTTACAGTCTTCACGGATAAAAACAATAACAGTTGGCTAAATAGTACTCAGGCAGCCTATCTTTCCAACCATCAACATATCTGTGATACAGACAATCCTGAGCTGATAATCACACAGTATGCGTTTATTTCAGGTGCAATTCACACAGGTGCCTTTTGAAACAAATAACATAATGGCACAAGATAATGAAATTCTAATGTACCACCATCATCATTCTTCTTTCATAAAAATGAGTTTAATTATCATTTAATGTGATAGGAATATGCCCGCGCCTTTTGTAATCCTAGAGAAGGATTGCGCTTAGCCAGAGTGTGTACCCGTGTGTCTGTGTACAGCACCTGTAGTTGCCTTTGCCATCGTCCTCCTTCACTTCCAACGAGACAGTGAAGGTGTAGAGGTCGCCATCGGGCAGACTGGACAGCGCCGTGTCCCTCGTGTCCACCGGGCGGGAGGAACGGCGAAAGGCTGTGGAGAAACTGTACAGGATACGACTGACCTGGATGGAAAAGGAAAACAACAACAACAAAACTTTACAGGCTGAACGACGAGGTGAAGTAATGTAATACATGGAAATAGAAATGAACATGAGAATTTAAAGGATATTGACTAACAAAAGTTAAATAGAACTGGACATTGTTAAGAAAACAGAGTAGAGGACATCAGCGCCCTCAGCTGGTTGACTAGCGTCAGCGGTTTTATGACTAGAGTAAATGTCCAGTATACAAAGTACCTGCTGAAATGTTAGTTCTTTATGTTACAGCAGAAGTGGGTTTTACTGTATCTTTATTATTAGAGTCCAAAGGCAGCTTCACATATATTACACTTAAGAACCACTTCCCTCTTAACCCGTACACACTGATCACAGAGGTGCACTTTGTGCACTACTTGTAGTGGGTGGATAATCTTGTAAAACGATCACTGCAACGTTACTTACTTAATGTGACATTTTACACTTTTAAAAGGAGACCAGAGGCAGATGATATGGTGTCTGTGGAATGCTACATTTTAATAAGCTACTCAAGATCATACTTTGACCCAAAATACGTAATGTTCTATTCTAATAATGTTCTATTAATATCTTCTTTTTGTATAACTAAGCAAAACTATCAAAGATCTCACTGAACGTGTTCTGGTTCACACTACCATGATGATGGAGTAACTCACATCCATCCACATAAAGCCAACTGGGTTACAATGTTGTGGGATTGTGCTTTATGAAGGTATATTTGTGTCTTCATTACACAAACAAAGAAAGCGTTGAGCAAAAATTTTGAATTTCATTTTGAGAGAACAAAGGATTTGTTAGCTTTGCTTGTGAAACTAGAATGTTTTATTGCAAAACGAAAACCTTTTGCTCTCGAAACAAAAACTACAAAGTCAACTCCCCTCCATGTCGCTTCTAACAGGAACGTCAGTGTTTAAGGATGGTAAAAGCAGATACAGAGTGCCGGGTTGAACCTGGTTAATTCAGCGGCGTTTCCCCCCCCCCACTATGTCCAAACTCAATTCGCAAAAGGTTGTAGTTTTGATAGAAAAAAGGTTTTAGTTTCGAGAGCAAAAGCTTTTAGTTTTGCAGCCAAAACTTCTAGTTTCAGAAGCAAAACTAACATTTTTCTCAGTTTAGATATTTGTACTTACAAACTTGATTTTTGATTGCAATGCAAGAAACAAATACACCGCCATAAGCGAAAGCCATGTTGGGCTACGGATTGTAATGTGGAATACCAGGAGGTAACTCACGGCCTCTATGATGTGGCAGGAGAAGACGTGGATTTGGAAGTCCTCGGAGCTCCGGTAACTCTCAGTGAAGGAGAAACAGTCGCTTTCCACCGAACCCTCTCTTCCACGAGCACAGAACAACACCTTGTAGATGGGGAATGAGGCGATCTCTGTACCAGAGGCCTCGTCCGCAATTCTGGGAGAGTTAGAGTTTTGGTCCAGACTTAAAATTGATTGATGACAATTGAAACAGATGAAGATACCAAATTGAAATTGAACTTGAACAATAAGCCTCCCTCCCACTCTAGATACTCAACATTCGTTTTATTAGGTGTTGACTACTTTTTACACGGGTATAAAATATGTGAATTGACCCGGTCTCAACATGCAGCATGTGGCTGGCTGACCTGACGGAGCCGTCTGGCCCACAGGGGACGTGCAGGGTGACGGGGATGGGGATGGCGCTTTCGGCCCGCAGGGTGGCCATGGCCCTCTGTGCCTCGGCCTCGTTGCGGGGGGCCTTGACCCAGGTGCAGCCGAGGTAGGACAGCTTGTTGAACTGGACACTGTCCTCCTCCAGCACCGTGGAGCTGGATGGTGCTGGACACGCGTCTGTGGACAGACGGAGAACTTGTGATTTTGTTTGTTTTCCTGAGAAGTGCGTTTCAGTGAAGATATACAAGAAGATATTACAACACAAAAACAAAACTCAACTGAGAAGTAAAGATAAGCCGAAAGGCAAAAGGCAGATACGCAGGAAGTCTTGTCGGTAATTACCTTTGACCCTGTACTTTTACACTTTGCAAACAGGAAGCAGAACAATGAGAGCAGCGATTGGACTTCCACTGCTGACCAGCTATTATTTGACACAATAGCACTAACACTAACTTCCTCTTCGTTAACTCAGCAGTAGTGCAAGACAAAACACTGGCTCCACTGCAAGATATGAGTTAATATGTGAAGACCTAATGCAAGACTGCAAGGTATTAGTATGTTATTTCTTAGGTGGAGGTTTGTACAACAACTGACGTAGGAAGTTACGGAATTTAACGGTCTCTCCTGTTTGTAGACCACACCGGAGTGTTTCAAAGAGAATATAATAATAACATTTTGACACACTGACTTGTTGCTTGTGATACAAACTTTTTGACCACAAAGCTAAACAGGCCGTAGGTATGGAGAGACGGAAATGTACTTCCTTGCTCAGTAACACAAACGGTTGGATTTCACCTAAAAGCCAGGAGCTACACGGGGAGACTAGATGAAATGTTTGAAGAGCTCTGAGTGAAACATTTCAAGTTGCACAGTACTAGTTAGTCGGGATTTAAAGCCACAACCAGGACTGAAACAAAGACAAGGATGCATATTGTAACGCTGGCAACGCCTTTCACCTGCCACTGAGCTTCAGAGTGCAGTACATCGCCGACCACTGTTGGTATGTTTGTTGAGCTGTCAGAGACGACTGTTGCTGATTTACAGAACGGTTAAGCCAATGTCAGAGAGTTTCGATACTAGCCTTGATAATCTGATAGGCCGCATATTTTGGTATGTCAATGCCATGCAAACTACTACATTCTTTATCGTTTTCATTTCAGTGTAAAAAAAAAAAAAGAATACTTGACAAAAACTTTTTTACATTACAGCCTGAGCTTTTAGTTTTGACTGAACTCATCTGTCAAATATTATATTTATTATTATTCATTGTCCCACAAGTTGTTTTTACTGAAATGTATTTATTTACAGCTTAGCTTGTTAGCTTAGCTTAGGATATTTTAAAATGTTTTATGTAAAGTGACTTTGAGCATTTGGAAAAGCACTATATAAATACAATGTATTATTATTATTAGTATTAAAAGTTTCATGATAAAACTCATTGATACATGAGAATAATATGGATAATATTTTATATTGGCAAATTGACACGTCCTGCATTTAGACACAATGACAATAGACTGACCGTGACCTGCAGATCGGGGTTCCAGGACTTCGGGGGACTTTGGGTCGCTTTCCTTTTCCATCTTTTCCACATTGCTCTTCTCCACCTTCACCTCTTTGTCATCATCGAACACCTCCTCCATAGCTTTCTCCAGCTGCTCACTCCCATTCAAAGACATCTGAGAGAGACAAAAAGAGAGAATAACTGGGAGATGAGGGTGCAAGAAAAACAAGGATGACAACAATCAAAACAAGCGGATAAAGTGAAGAACTTCAGAGTCAACACAACAAAAGGATATATTCATATCCTTGATGTTGATGATTGCACCCAAGTGTAAAAGCCCGTTCCCGTCTGGCCCTGACCTTGAGCCTCGGTTTGCCCTCGGAGCCTTGAGGTGACCCGGCGGCACTCGGCTGAACCAGAACAAACTCCTCACTGGTGACGGTGGCGACGGACTCGGTGGAGCTGCTGACTTTTCGAAGTGAGGAGCGGTCATCCATGGCTGGCTGGTTTACTCGGGGTTGGCTGGGGACACCAGGGTTAAAGCTCTCCCATTCCCTGCCCGCTCTCGTTCACTCAGCTGTGTGGGAAGACAAACGCATTGCATCAGACTACACACCAGGTATTTTCTTGCCTTTTCAGTGAACATTTTAGGCATCAACCCGAGTTACAGGACATTTGTAGTGATGAGAGAGCTACATGACGGCGGCTCATTGTCCAGGATCAGTCAATGTTGCCTTATGAAAGACGGGTTATTACATCAGGGTTGATGTAGCACGTGCAGTGTTGTCACTGTAATGTGTAATGCCAAAACCGAAACACACCCATCCAGCAGAGCGAGGGAAGGCCTGGTATGGGCCAAACAACTCCCAGGCTTTTAGGGCATATTTTTTCGTTATGAGTCCCACCCAAAGTTATTCTGAGCCCCTGTCATCTTTGAGTTAATGATACCAGCCCAGAAGTGAGCGCTTCATGTAAACGCAACAAATCCACTGTTCCGCAATTCTGGAAATTGTTTCCAGTGCTTATGGTGCGATTACGCCCTGCCGGTGTCTGACAAGCCCCGGCTGGCCGCCACGTCGCTTAATGATCCTATTTTCCACATTCAAGGATTTGATGGTAACCTTTGTAAGCTTAGAGATGTGGTATTTAGCATTCTGCCACTGAAGGGCTTCAGTTGAACATTATGTTGCTACTAGCAACGGCTAAATATGTCAAATTCTTTTTGATACATTTCTGAAGACCAGCCCAGAACTGCTTCACTCAACATTAAGACAGCAAGGTTTTTACATTAGGATTTTGAATAATTGCAGAAAATAAGCTTTGTGGCAACACACATTTGTATAATACGGCACATGACTTTCCAAGTCTCTGCTAGGCTAAATATTAAAGAGCTGATATTGTAGAAAGTGATATTTGTCATTATAAAGCAGTTCTAAGTGCTATATAAATAATATAAAAAGTAGAAGTTCATTTGCAGTATCAGCTGATAGGATTGGGTCCACATTTAGTTTCCAATAAATCCAACATGTTGAAAGTTAACAAGTTAATTTCATCATACTGAGGCCGACAAAGTGTAACGTGTTTTAATTAGAATTTCTAAGTGAAAACAATGGAACAATACATGTTCAATACATACTCTGGAGAGTATTTAAATGCAAATCTGTCGATATGCTTTAGCAGAAACCCTGAATCTGTGTGAGCCTGGAACTGAGCATCACGTGTCTCACATTATAGTATTTTGGTACTCTTGTGGACTTGTGTTTTTACGAGGACGGCACAGAGGGACCACCAAAGTCGGTCTGCACATCTTTGTGAGCTCACTGCCTCCACATGTTACATCTTGCTGGCTCATTCATTTTGGCAACATGTCTTTACGCACAACCGGTTGAAACCTGGCTCTAAAAACATTGAGTGAGCATGAATAAATAAAACACCTGTATAATTAAAAGACATGTTTCTGCGCCGTTTAATAATAGACAACAAGGAACAATTAAGTGAACCGATTTGTTTGGCTTACAAACAATGATCTCAGGCTAAACACATTCACAAATGTACCAAATCCAGTTAAAACATCCTTATTATTTTAGTAATCACTTAATAATTTTGGTTGATATGTAATTGATTTATCTTTTAAGTTGCAAATATATGCTGCTTTACAGAGTACATCTGGGTTTGAACACGTCTCTTCGGCATTTTCATGTTTTGGACATTTCATTGACAGCGATTCATATTTGATTGTTGATGATACACACACACACACACACACACACACACACACACACAAATATATATATATATATATATATATATATATATATATATATATATATATATATTTAAGAGCAAAAGCATGACTTGGGCATTCATTACACACATACCCCGTGACTTGATTACGTGCATACAGAAGTCATTCATACACGACTCGCCCAGGCCAATTATACACAAATCGACACACCCACATTTATGAGGAAAGCAGGCGGGTCATGTGCTCAAATCACACTTATTCAATTATACAGCAGCATTTCCTTCCCTGCAATGAGAAGGAACGTCATGGCATAAAGAATAAAAGACTGTCGGATCATCATTATATGTCTCATTTTTTTAAAATCATACTGCATGTGAAAAACATACAGTAGCAACAACACACTTGATAATAATAATTACTTAAAAGATGGCAGTGTAAGCACAGATAATCCCCCTCATTGCTCTCACACGCATTAACACATACAATACACAAGATACACTTGCATGTGATAAAAATTAACAGAAACTGCAAGTAAATAAACAGCAATTAAGGCCTTTGAATTGTTATATAATAACAAGAAGATGAGCTGGACTTTAGATTTTTCTGCCAACTGGTCTTCTCAAGCCTGCTTATGTGAACATAAAGGCAGTATTGCTTCTAATCTTCCTCTCAGTCTTGTTGCTGCCCTTGTGATGGAGAACAGTTGCATCCTCGCTGGCTATAAACCAAAGTGTAAACAGTGTGGTCTGCACCGAGTCATTACTAGCCTGCTTCTTCAGTACAGTCTCAGTTGGCAGTCTTAGATTCCCAACCACTGGCTGGAAATTGTGAGTGTAGTGAGGTTGAACAACACCCGGAGCACCGGGCTATCCGGACACATCACATCCGTGAGGGTGCGTGTGAGTTTCTATGGGTCTCACTGTCATGTTACAGGAAACAAGCGTCAACAGACACAGGTGAATACAGAAACCCACAATAAGTCTACATTTCACAGGAGGGGAGGGGGCAAATGTTTGCCTACCATCTCGTCAGTGGGACGGAGACAATCATCGCTGCACGTCTGACCTGCGCCTCAATCTCAGTCCATCCATTTATGACTGCAGACCTTCAGGTGAAGCACAAATCCAAGACTGTACAACCTGCTGACTGCATTTTTGGTCTTTGGTTTTCAGATCACGTCTGGATGAGTAACTTCATGCTTTGTGGAGTGTGAGATTTGCACAATCCGGTTTGGGAGTTTATTTGCTAGTACATATTACGGTTCATAGAACCTTTCTATGCAAAAGGATCAATTGCACAACTTGTTACAAGTGACCTCAGTCAGTTCTAACATGAACAAGATTGAGCCAGGAGACGTCTCCTTTTGAAACACGGATGGACACCTGCTTTGAGGCTTGTTGGTGAACATAATAGAACTACAGCTTTTAGACCTCACTTCCTGTTGAAGTAGCCTGTTTGGAACTCAAGTACGATGCTATGACAACCTGTAATGGTGCTTTCATGACTATACATAGAGTGTAATAAAAGAAAGAATCAGTAACTATTTTTAATCAATGTGAAGTGTTAGCTAAACCTTTCCTGCTTTACAGGTTAGTTCTCTAGCTGGGTGGTGAATGCAACAACTGAATAAACTAGCTCCTTCGTGACAAAGAAATACCATCCACCAGAAACACAACAAAGGGCTACTTTGGTTTAGTGCCAACGCTCAAAAGCCCGGCCCATATCAGAGGAGTACCTGATTATTCCAGTTTGTTCAAACTGGCCACATTCTACTGCTGGTCAAGTTGGTCAAGCTTAAACGTAAATGATTCATTATTAAAATATGTGTTATGTTACTACATAGTTTAGCTTTACATCCTTTTAAAAGGTTTGCTTGTATCAACAGAGGCAGAGTCAGCGATTCAACAGCAAGTTAAACTGCCAGTTAGTTTTAAAGGGTCAAAAGGGCAAGTCAACAGAGAGACACTGGACAGATTTTATGTAAGCCTATGAACAATTTGGGACTTTAATTATAACAATACGGTTTACCTCACTGTTGAGGACAATTGAGTGTCCTTATTTAGAGTAACTTGGCTTTTTTGGCTGAATTCACATTTAACCCATTTGTATTGCCCTTTAAGGTGAAAGTGAAACATAATCTTCTGGTTCTGCTTCGGTTTCGTCACATGGATGTTTAGGTCACCCAGAGATAAATCCTGGATCTGATCCACAGACAGAAGAACAAATTCTGTGACAACACAACCGCCTCTGCAGTGAGGATCCCGGGTTACTGACACATTTTATACTCCAAACCGGTAAAGCTCACCGGTCGACTAAACCTCAATTGAGTGCAACGTGTCAAACGAAAGCCGTGCGAGCCCTTTATGAATCAAACACTAAATGGCCTTATGGCTCACTTCCAAAAAGAGTCAGCTGACGACTAATGATACGGTCAGATGGTTCGGTGTCTTTTTATCCAGCTGAGGAGACAGTTTGAGAGTTTGTATATTATAACTTGTGTGGTTTCCCCTGGATAAAGTCTGTGGTGGGTCAGATTTCCACTCATTACTACAGTCTGCTCTTGTTGCTGCTCTCATTGGTTTCTGCAGGCCCGGATGGAGCACATCACAGGCTCTCACAGCATCATCGGCTATGGGAGCTTTTCTCCTTCAACACGGACAATTGGGAAGGCAAAACGACGATGACATGGTACTCTTTCATCATACCCACTTTCAACTGACCCACTCGTCTCACGGCAGCTCGCGTTTGTTAATACAAAACAACACACATTATAACGTCACATTGACACTCATGACAGAATTAGCTACTGCCAAGCTAGCTAGTTATCCGTGCAGTCACCACGGGCAACAGCAAAATGACAACAACAGTAATAACATTTGACACGGGCAAATCTGTCGACAGGGAGCTAGCTACCGGAAAAGGTGAACGCAGTCGACAGATGAAGTATACCTGTGTTGTCAGGCTGGACCTGCGAGCTAAAGCTAAGTTGTGCCAACGCTAACCAGCTCGAAGTCCAAAACAGTTGGAACCACTATTTCGGTGGCGCGAGCTCCCTCAGCGACACCCCGCCTGTCTCCGGAGGAATATCACGAGTAAAGTAGAAGGAAAAGAACGTTTCCACTCTCGCACCGTGTAAATGTGACACTGACACCAACACTTCGGTAGAGAAAAGGAGCTGTCAACTTACTTAGTTGAGAGCGTAGAGGAGTTGCTCACACTCGCTAGCTGTCAGAGGAGTTGCAGCGAAGATCGTTTATGCTTCGGACGATGAACCGCTGGGGAGTTCAGCGACACAACTTCCGGTTTGGGATGCTCGCGTAATTACGCGCATGCGCCGTGCAGCTCACGCACCCACTTACTTCACACGCTCCTTTCTACTCCAAAATTATAATTGTTCCGGTTCTGCTCTGCCATGTAACGTTACACACAACCACTTATTTAGACGTATGTTGAGTTATAACTTCCTATACCTAAAACTTTTGTATGTATCTCATTTGAAAACGTTTTCAGTTTGCTGTATTGTCAAACTGGCAAATATAAAATGAATGCTTTGTTCTAAAAATTAATTTTCTGTATCTAAAAGTGTTGGATTCATGGCAGTTACAAGATGGGGGTCAATGTTTATGCTGCTTTCAGAATTTATGGTGTTATTTTCCAAACATTTTGAAACAATGCTGAAATATTTCTATCATGCTATGTGTGTGTGTGTGTGTGTGTGTGTGTGTGTGTGTGTGTGTGTGTGTGTGTGTGTGTGTGTGTGTGTGTGTGTGTGTGTGTGTGTGCGCGCGTGTGTATGTGTGTGTATTCCTGTTAATCACCACACAAATAGGCATTTCAAGCAGTTACGAATCTTTATTTCAAAAGTCAACACTGCCAAATATTACTGTTTTTGTATTTGTCAGGTACAATATCTGTTTTAATCACATTTCAAAAAATCTTTTTTCTCTGTTTTCAAAGATAATGGGTTATAGTTAATACAATGACTGCAGAAATGGATGATATTTATACTTATTTGTGGTTTTTGGATGACAAGAAAGAATGTTTATATTTCATTCGATCCTTTGTCAAAGATTCAAGACATTTCTTAACAGGTTTTCCAAAAATCAAAGCTTTCAACTTTCAGTGATGAACTTTCATTTTGCAAGTCCTCATTTTTTTACCACTTTAAATAATTCCAGTGAAAAACATAATTCTGGTTTAAAAGGCGTTTCAAGATGTCTGGTGTAATGGCACTGCAATTGGCATTTACTTAACTCTAAAAGAAAATCAATGAGAGATAAGTGAGGTAGCTGCTGATCAATAAATCATAATTAGTTAATATGCACTGTTGTATAATGCTTAAATTATACACTAGGCCTGTCAGAAAATCTTGCTAAAATCATCCAAAGTTATCACACCAAGTCCTCAAGGTCTCTTGCATTGCTTATTCAGCCTCACCGATTCTTGCAGCACACATAAATATAAATACAAATATCACAATAAATATTATAGTGTATGACACGCAATGCTGGGTAAGTGTTATGTAGAAAATGAGCACTATTAAGTAATTGTGAAGTGAAAACACTGTTTCAATCACATACATGTGTATTCTAACTTGCTCGCAATATAAAAACAAATACATGAAAATAAATAAGTTGATTATTTGCAGTTCAAGGATTCAACATGAGAGTAGTACAGGACTATAGGAGGAGTGTGTAGACAAAATAGCACAAACTAGTAAATCACACTTCCTCAATCAAATTACATCATGTTGAGATCCCAGGGTGAATATATTGTTCATCAAGAACACAATGGAATCAAGAGGTTCATTGCTTTCTAGATCATAGTTACATACCAAACGTTTTGCATCACAAAGAGAAATTCACTCAGTAAGTTTCAAGATTGCTACCGTTGCTCAGTTGTCTCTGCTTTTTCCCAGGCTTACACTTTAGGGGAGAAATTGCCACCCCAATAAACCAGGATTATCCATGATCTAGTTTGATATACTTGTACCTACGTGTGCATCATCGTCATTACTTGACGGGTGTGCACCATGCTTCCAATTGTCCTCCAACAAAGAGAAAAAAAAGCTGAAAGGAGATGACTGGAGATGAAGACCCCCCCCCCCCCCCCCCTCCCCCGAACGCTTGGATAAAAAAAGCTGCAGTCGTCTGCCCTCCTCCAGCTTTCCTGTAACTCCAGCATGTTTCTACAGAATCTGCAGAGAAGATGTTAACTTTTTCTTTGGAACGACAAATTTGGTTAATACATATTTTTTTCTCTTTTTGTCATTAGGGAGATGTGTAGCAGGGGGAAATCATAAATGTCTAAGATAGCCCTCAGTCATTAAATAACCTTTACAGGCAACAGGTCACGAGTTTACACCATCACTCTTCATGTGGTAGCACAAAGAGACATTTTCTTACAGGAAACCTACAATTTCATCTACCGTAAATGACTATCTTAGTGAACATCAAACCTTAAATTGTAAGGGTATAAATGTGGTAACCTCCACAAACAGTGGATATTTATGCAAAATATCCCCACTGGCAGCTACAGCAGTTGCCTAAAGTATGTGTGTCTGCGGGTCTTTTTAGTAGTGTGTGTATGTGTGCGTGTGTGTGGGTGGAGTTATTTGTTTCTTTAGGATGGTCACACCTCGGTGCTGATGGCTCGGGTGTTGGTGTAGAAGTCCGGAGGCCGGCCTCGATGCGTCTCCCTCAGCAGGGATCCTCGGACGGCGGGCAGCGGCAACGCCAGCGCCTGGTTCTCATAGTGTGTAGGCATGTAGGTGACGCGCTCTCCGCCGTTGCGCATCTCATCCGTGGTGCGAATGTAAAAGGGCGAGTCATAGGGTGAGCAGGTGGGGCAGTAACTGCGTTTCCCCCCCGCGGGTTTGGTGGGGTCGAAGGATCCGGTTGCCTCCGGTGGGGTAGTGAGGATCGACCCCTCCAGGCCAGAGACACTGCAGGCGTTGCACGCAAAGTGCTGCTGAGAGACGGAGCCGCTGTCAGACCCATTCTTCTTACAGCAGTAGTACTGCAGACAGAGGGAGGCGGATTGCCTTTTTCAATACAGATTTGTGACATATGCTGGCTGCACCTCAGTTTTTAAGTCTAGAACTGTGTTTGATGTTATTTTTCAAAAGAAATTCAGAGATGCAAATATAATGAGAAGCATTGCACTTTATCCAATTCATTGGTACAAAATTAGTCTGATACTCCTTTTCTCCAAGCTGCTGGTGCCACCTTTTACACTGTTTCTAGAAATATACCAGATGCATTGAGAATTGAGAAAGGCAAAAGGTGTTGTTGTTAAAGGAAAAGTATTTTTTCAAGGGTTATTTATTATTTTTTAGCTTGATAAAATACTGCAAACTATAAATTCTTAGTGAATATTCAAAATACAATTTCTATGAAAATTAAATAAGTAAAATGTCTTGCTGCTGGCATTAATCAATTATTTTCGCATACCTGGAGTCTACAGTAACAGAGCACAGCGATGATACACAGAAGTATCACTGTGGCCAGTATTCCGCCGGTTATGACAACAGTTCCAGCTGTCATCCGACCAGCTCTCCATCAAACTCTGACACACGCGCAGGAAGAAATATCATTAATAACAGCTTCCCTCTGCGCAGAAAATGTGACTTGGAATATATATATATATATTACTTTGTTATAACTCAAAACCAGAAACGTGAATCCAATCATATTCTTAATGCATATACAAATTCTCCTTTAGAAAAGACAGTATGCAAATTTGATTGTGCAAGCCTGATTGTGTGTATTGTCTGTTGTACTCACGTTCAGCAAAGTTGCTTAACACCTGAAAGCAGAGAAATACAGTAGTTGTAGTAAATATCGTAGATTTGGCGGACAGGACAAACTGAGTGAATGAAGGACTTACATCAGAAGAGTGTTGGAAGGTTGTAAGGGTGTAGAGAGGTCAAATCAGAGGTCCAAGGAGACGGGTCAAACTGCTGGATAGCCCAACTGTATGAACATCTGGGCAACGTAAACATGGGAAACAAGTAATGGAACAAGCTTTTATGCATTTTCCCTCCACAAGGTGGCACAAAGACAACAGTAAAATATCTCCCACAGACACACAAACATACAGTACACCATTTGGTACCGAGTAATGCCTTGGGACTGAGAGGACAAGGTGAAGGAGAAGGGAGGAAAGGCAGTAATGACACTAGCAAATAAGAAAAAATAATAAGTAAATCATTAAATTAGAAAAAAAAGACAATAGGATGTAAGGAATGAAACAATTGTGATACATAAATAAACATAGAGCCTAAACATGCACCATTGGACGCACAAAAAAAATAATGTCCTATTACATATATGCAGAGGTTGGAAAAAAATAATAGCGACACCTCCTGTAATGCGATATAAATCAATATCTTGTCAACTTGCAAATACCAAAAAGAACTCCCTTTTCTACCAGACCAAAGCTTTAAAAGGATATCACAGAGTTGAAAAAACGTTTCTCTAACATATTGTAACAATAATAGGTAGAATTATATAGACGTTTATGAGAAAATTACCCTAGTTGTCAATTGACGTACTTCCCTCAGTAACTATGGGCTCAATGGCAAAGTGTCTTTAGTACAGCATGATGCTCATTTGGTAAATAAAGGACTAATTTTGAGTAAAATGGACCAAATAGCATAGGTGTGCCCGTGTATGATTGCATGTAGTGTAAAGTAGTGCGTAAAGTACATCAATCTCCATTTATTTAAGAGGTCCACCAGATCTGAATAATCACAGCATTGTCATTATATTCATATTCAGGGTGTGTCGCTTTAACTCTTTTCACTGTTTACTTTGGCATGGTAGTTCCAGATCTTGCAGTGGGCTACAAGTGTTCAGTGAAACAGAATTAATTCACTGCTGTCAGAAAAAAAGCAAGAAATCTGAGAATCGCTAATGAAAAGAACAAGTCCCCCAATCATCACATGTGCATATTCTTGAGCAATTTCACTCAATAAGATCTACATTCACACACACACACACACACACACACACACACACACACACACACACACACACATGCATGGATCAATGCAGGGATTTAGCAATGAGGGGCTCTGTTGTTAAGAGGTTTTATTCTGCACGCAGAGGCTTTTGTGTAATGGAAGTGAAAGTTATTACTGCTGATAAAGAGACGCTAAACCCATGATTTGGGTTGGAGGGCAATTAAATATAAGGAAATGAAGAATGAGGAAACAAAAGGATAGAGACAGTAAGAATGTATGCATTTAATAAAGGAGGGAATAAGGCAAGGAAGGAATTAAGGAAGCAGCACCACAGGTACAGATGTGTGTGAATGTTGACAAATGCATTAACATTTTCTGCATGACCACACAGGGCTAATCATGCAGGCTGTCACATATGATTCCTGCTGTTTGATGGCTGGATTGTGTTTGATGGCTGGAGTGTGTTTGTGCATGCTATGGTTTTATGTCAGATTGTGTGATGCAATGGAAGGACTCAGTATGTTCCTCCACTATTATGCAAAGTCAACGAGGATTTACGTTACGTACATTTATTATAACACACACATCACTACACTGACTCAAATGAGAAAGTACTTTCATTTGTCTTGTATTTGTGTTTCAGTAGGCTATACAAAACAATGTGTTTTTTCAGATTTATTTATTTATTGAATATATTGTGATATAAGATACTAATTCGGAGCACTTAACTCTGCATTGACCTTTTCTGGATTTACAGTTTAAATGAGATGCAGAGTGAGAAAAAACCCTTCACGTCTGTGCCCTGGTGGCAATTACAACATGGACTTTATAGTTGTCCAATTGGATTTATTAAAAGAGAACCCCACCAATGGACTATGCACTATGTATCATATTTGGATTGTATCAAAACCACTGCAGCAGAACCAGCGATGTCCTCAGTCTCTCGTAGTCAGAACCTGGTGCCGCACTACCCACAATGCCTATTGATCACCGACAGATCAGTTTGATACTTTGTGTGTCATGCTATCAATGGCTAAAGTGGCCACAAACCAACTACCAAATATATGAGGAAGAAGGCAACAGAAGCCCAGTGCGCTAACTTCATTCCTAAAGTCCTTTTATAATGATTGTGCATTTGGGAAAACAGAGGCATCACATGACCTGTCTAAGACAAAACAGTGGAGCCATTCCAGTCCAAGTCTGAATGACAAAAAAGCCACCAAATCTTGTGGTTTTTGTACTTCCAAAAACATTGAACTTAACTTAGATTGAGGGCATTTTGATTGCCTCTGAACACGCTCACGGGCTTATCGCGCTGACAACGGCAAAAGTGCTGGCAGACTTAACCAAGTTCACTTGAGGGGGAAAACCGTGGTGACAGTGCGACGCTTCTGCGACAGCGACATCGGCCGTGAGGGTCTTATCAGCCGCAACCATATGAGAGCAATGCAGAGCAGCACCCAGGCTCGACAGTGGGGGACGCTTACGTGTACAAACATGCACTAAAAGCATGCAGGCCCCTTGAGTCTATTTATACAAAGTGAGGGAAAACTCGGATTACAACAAACGCAGAGGGAGAGCATCCCCACGGTCCACTCGGGTTACTCCAGTGTCTCTGCACATAGTTGTTTGCTGCTATATTACTGCTTTGAATGACACATATTGCTCCTAAGTGTCATGTTTTCATTTTTCAGCTGATCGTCTTTTCCCTCTTTGGAACGATCATGTCCATTGTCAAGAACATCCTGAATGACATTCTTACATCGTACTCTGTATACAACATGGATACAAGGTTTAGCAGCAGCGGAAGCAGATGAGGCACTTGTGTAAAAAATGAAAAGACCAAACTGCATCTCACAATATCTCTGGGGAAGTGTTGAGCAAATTATATTGTGCATCTTCTCAAAGGGTTATTAATGGGTTTCTTCATTAAAGAAAAACCTGTGCTGTAAGTGCTGTCAGCCTCAGAGGAAAGAGAAAATAAGGCGGTGTTGCTCACAGAGGCGGCCGTCTGAACCAAGCTCATAAACCATGTTTCTGTCAAGAAGTACACTAGCATTCAATTATTTCTGGAGAAAACGGGATGGCAGCTGGCAGATTCCTCTAAACACCGTTCTTTACAACTCTCTCCAATGTGCGCAATCTCAGTACACCAAACTATTTTCCATAATTAAAGCCAGCCCCGTGACTTGCACCCCATGGAGGTATGGGAATGGAGTCACTGCTGTCGCCACGCCAATCCTCTACTCAGACACCGAACAACAAATTTGTTTTTCTGTTTACATGTTGCTCTTCAAGCACTTTCAGACAAACTTGTTGGTTGGATTAATGGAGTTCACTACTGAGAGAAATGAGATATCTGTATCAGCACACACACACACACACACACACACACAGACACACTCACATGCAACCGTGCATGCTAAGCACAAACAGAAAGAAAGCTGGATCAGTCACCCTTGGGTCCAGATTAGTGGCCTTCAATCCAGAATACTGCCTGAAGAGCCCTGTGCACTGATAAGACACTTTCACACACACACACACACACACACACACACACACACACACACACACACACACACACACACACACACACACACACACACCCACACACATACTGCAGGCAATCGTGTACTCAGTCATTAGCGAATAAATCAGGACCTCCTAATAAAACATCTATTAGAACAGACACCGTTGTGGTTCTTTGAGCTCCCGGGAGACAGACGCAGCTTACAAAAGAGCGATGAGTCCATAGATCTGTTACATTTGCGAGCGTAACAATATGAAGACTTTAGGTATGTGTGTTGAATTGTACCCTGTGAATGACAAATTCCACAGAATCAGTTGGGTGTGTCTTTTTGTTGTTGAGCTGCACCGCAATCTGTTGTTCAGCACATTTTAGTTTGGTGAAAGCCGTTATTTTTCTTTGCAGCTTGAATCTGCAACATTTTAGCCTGAAGCAGAAATAAATTGTAACCCACCTTCAATGTTCAAATTCCCACTTTGAGACTTGTCAGTCTTGGTTGGGTTATGTGTATCCTACGGCTGTAAATAATGCTAGTTTCTCTTGATGGTTATACCTGATATTGCATCCGGCTTCCTTGACATACTGGTGACAGAGAATTAGCTGGACAGTCACTTATCCGGCGATATAATAGCAGTTTCCTATAATGCAACAGAGTGCATGGATGGAACATGAAGCTAATTTGTCTCCTTTACGTTTAAATGGGGGTTGGAAATCCATCTTAAAGGTGCATCACTGCCACTAGTGGACTCAAGTGTGGAGCGCTAGATCCAAAAGTGTATTATTGCTGTTACTCTTACATTCAATATAAGGGACTATTAACTGGTTATGAAACTCTAAATGTAATACTGATGCCTCAATATGACCTACATATTTGAAAGAGCAAGCAAGAAGACGAGCCTTCTCTTCATGTTTTTTCTTAATGCTTGTAATATGTGCCACTGGGTCACATTCAGTCATGCATGTTTTTTACACCTGCAATCATTGGTCTTTCATATTTCGTGGGGTTTATCAGCATGTTGCCGCCCCATTGCTTCCACTTACATTATTGCTTTACTTTGTCTTGTAAATTATTCTGTTTGTAGAATGGTAAATACATGGAAGGTTTATGATAAAAAAAAGTCAAATCTCAGGTTTCCCATATGCTGTTTCTAGAAAATCCGGGTAATGCAAGTATTACAAGATAGACAACACTCCACCCCTCTGATGGAATGCTCCCTATGGAGTCTCACTGCCATCGGTCTTCGGGAGCAGCTGAACGACCTTGATTGTCCTGGAGGATTTTTTACAAGATTCACTCTCTGGATTTTACATTGCTCAGACCAGTGTCAGTCTCTCCTCCCCCATATACACTAAAAACATAATCCTTGCGTCATATACAGGAAGCTGGTTGGATTCCTTCCGGTTGTCCCAGATAACAACCTGCTTGATCATCCGTTAAATGTTCACAAAAATGTGTGTTATCATCAGATATGTTTTGTTCTTGGTGATAGTTTAAAGAACTATTGCAGAATTACTATCACGAGAGGGTCAATGACTAAAGCAGCCCAGTAATCAGGTTTGTGTCACAAACCTTCGTCCTCAGGCTCGTCACACCACAATGATGGATGGGAAAATTGTGGGCTTTCTATGCAAGGTTAATTCCACATCAGAAAACCCCCCAAAATGTGTCCGAGGAAAGTGGAAGACTGACCATCTTCCCTCCATCAATGTCAATGCGAGCCTCGGAGCCGGAGCAGAGAATCTGCGCAGAGTAAACTTCAACTCACAACTAACCAGGCACCAATTCAAACAGAATTTTGGTTCTTGTTATTTTGTCTTCGAAGCTCTATGGCTGCCGTTGTAAACGGAGAGAAAACAAGGCCCGCATCCAGACGGGATTCATGGTCACAGCTAAAATGTAATTTGTCTAATCCTGTTATCTGACGTTCCGAAGGCTTTCCTTCTGTTTCCTCTCTGTGCGTCGTCTCTGCTGCTGCTCACAGTGACTGCGCCTGTTTGCACAAGTGAGCGCGTATCTGTTTTGTCATTCGGGAGTTTTAAGTGAACACAATTTTGGGGGGTTATTTGTTATAAATGAAGATTGTTCAACGTAAAAGAATAATTATGGGGAAACTTCACACAGCGGATGCTGAAAAACTAAATCACAGGATTTGTTTATAGTGAATGTTGTAAACAGCTCGTGTTGGTTGGTTGCAGTGCAGCTATCACTGTAAAAGCACTGCTGTCGCACCACTAGACAAAAAACATGACCGCGGAAAAATATCAGTTACTTTACTGTAATAAAAGTGAGCTTTCCTTGGTGCTGAAGTGATGTTACTGGAACACACACTATTCGTTGAGTGTTTTTTGGGTGTAATCACTAACGTCGGGACATGCCGCTGGAGAAACGTGATCTGTGCGGATTCCCCGTCACACTTCAGTACGCAAATGAACCGCAGATGAATTACACAGTGTGATGTTTCACTACTCACCGTTTTTGTCAATATTCAGCAAACTATGCGATCAGGACCTGTTCTGAAACAACATACATGAAAGAACAAAGTATGACCTGTTTACAGAAGCTCTCAGTAGCTAATATTACATCATTACAACTGTGAATATCAAGATTTAATTTAATGAAGAAAAAGGTTGGTTTTTTTTTAATCTTTTTATCAAGAAAAAAGGCACTATAGATGAACATACCAAAGTAAAATGATTTACATCATCAGACCAGGCGAAGGAACCCGGATCTGCTCCCTTTTTTATTTTGTGCTCGCCCGACCTGTGATCAGATCCGTGATCCGATCCGTGATTTTTATGATCCGTTGCACCACCAATAAGTACATTAACTTCCCGCAAACGCTCACACGTTGCATTGAAAGCCCTCTTCATGTACTAACGGACCCACAGGAGCCCAACCAACCGTTTTCCCATCTCCCTCTTCAGCTGTCGCAGCAGTTACGACCCAGTAGCCCAAGATTGATGACAGTGAACATTTTAGTTCCATTACTTGATTTTGCTCGAGGTCATTTGGGGCGAAGAGCGCTATGAATGTGAAGGACCACTCCTGGCCCTATAAAAGCACATGATCAATACAGGCGGTAAAAACGACTTTGTCCCCGTAAAGATGGAGAGGGGGATAGGACGTCAGAGGGTTGGAACACAGTTTCGGTCTCCTTCTCCTTCCAATCTGGAACATGTTGTGATGCCGTGTACCCTGCTGGCAGATTTATAGCCGGTGCACATTATGGCGCGAGGCAGCTCTCCAAGCTACTGTACTCCGGCCTGCCAGCTCCTGATTCAGCCTTTCTACACACTCACTGTGACTACGAAGATGTGGTGAATACCTTCACTTGCACAGCAAGCGGAAGATTCATTACTCATGGCCCTTCTCTTCCTCCCTTCCTCCACAGGCCCGGGTATCCAGGCCAGTGCGATGGCTGTGGGTGACTTCTACTCTTGTTTACCACTGAGGCAGCCCCCTCTTGGTCAACCAGTTGGTTTTGGTAAACTAAGATTTATTAGATCAATTAGTCGGTATTTGGCTTGTATTTCTACAATACGAATGAACACATTTTTGTGATTCTTTGAAGAGAAACTTTCCAGATATTGCCATTAAATCAAAACAATAGTATAATTCAATCTAATGAGAAAACGGTCATGACAGTATTATTCCATAATACAAAAAACCTACCGGCACTATTTCTTGATAAAGACTCTTTAAGAAGCATGCCATTAACACAAGTGTAAATGCTGAACTTAAATGCACTGGTGTTCATTATGCACAACTGGACAGCATAATAATTCTAATGAGGATGTAAAGAAAATTTTAAATTCAAATCGTTAATGTTTTGTTGTGCTATTTGCTGACATTTTTTTTGGCTGCTGTGTCTGTTCACAAATGCAATCAAAGCATGTTTCAACCAAGGGCAGTGAAATCCAGCCGTTCAGCCCGGTACACGTGTACTCTTTTAAAAAGATGAGCCACATCAACCATTCATCAACCATATAGATGTCCTAGATGATTTACGTCCACTTCGGACCTCGTTTAGGTGAATTACTTGAGCAGGAAAAGGGAACTCACGTCAAACACACATACGGCTATGCGTCCGTCTGCTTTGAGGGGTTTGCAGAGGTTTGCAGAGGTGTCATTATAGCTGCTCAGCTCGTTCCCTGCTGGCCTGCAATATGCCGGCTTCTCTTTCACAACTGGCAGCAGAGCAGCATCACTGAACGCACACCCAATATAGGGCAGCCGAGGAATCTGTAATTGCCGTACCTCCATTGTGCTGGTCAGCACAGCAGTCTCATGAAAGGAAAAGAAACGGTCCAGCTTCTATCTTTGAGGGAGTAATATGCCCAGAATATTCCATTAGCATACATTCACACGGGCCTTTTATCTGTGACAGTTACTAAATTGAGGGAGCACAGCCACAGATGGCAGAGCCAGCAGGCGGAAGGCTTGGCTGCTGAGACGCCTCGCTTAAGAGCAGGAGAGTACAAGTAAAAGTTGGGATTCATTGAAATCCAAGTTTTCCTCTGTGGACCCGTAGACATCCTTGTTTAGAGGAATTCAACCATCGACATTACAATTGCATGTTGAGCCGCAGGTCAGGCCCACATTTTCACAGGGGGAATTTCACAGTTCCCTCCACCTTTAAAATATACATTACCGGCCGTCAAAAGGAAGTCATCACACCAACAGTCGAGTATTCTTCAAATAGCCTTTTCCACAGCTGTCAAAAGACTCCGTCCTGAACACCACCTGCAGTCAGCCTGACTGCGTAGGTGTGAATTTGAGAGTGCTCCTCCTGCTCAAGGCCATTTCAACCACATGGCTGTGCAAAAGACACTGACCTTGCGGTGACCTTGAGCTGACACGGCGGTAACTGAATCCACGCGGTCCAACAGTCGGTCACAGGAGGACAAACAGCGACTCAGATCTCCTCTCATCTCTTTGCATCAGTTGGGTTTTTGCTTTCATATTTGTTAATGCGACAACTCACTGTTTGGTTAAAAACTCCTGCGCTAATTCAACAAATTTCACAGTGGTGTTGAAGACACGCCCATAATCCAAACATTTTGTTTATTTTGCCTTAAAAAAGTTTGTGCTGAGGAACGCTTGACCCGTGTGTCTCCATCCTTCGAGTAAAGTAATGATGGCAACTGGAGAGAAAGTGGATATTGTTTTCACATCCAAGCCTTGTTTAGATGAAGAAATAATCTAAGGAAATAGTTAAAAGCCTCAAATAATGTAAGCAGGAGGGAAGATATCCCAGACACCCATTACATCTGGAGAACATCAGTTCCTTCACCTGCACATCAGTGGTCGGACTAGATGGGATTTTTCAAATTTTTTGTTAATTTGTTTATTTGTAAAGAAACATTTTGGAAATAAGTGCTGGCTTCACAGCATGTATTCTGAATTACATATTCAGTAGGAATTCAATGGGCCAACAACATGAAAACATTTATAGCCACACTATATTCAACATTGTCACACGATTACGGTGTCCAACTTTAAAGTGGAAAATTGCTAATTGATGCAGCTTGTTCTTCACTTCTCTTTGTTTCCCGGAAATCAAAGTAAAGTTATTTCACAGTATTTTAAGGGACGAAATGTCCTTCACAAGTACAAAAACACAAAGAGCGTTTGCATACGGTATGCGTTTGTGTTTGTCAATGTCCACGTGTGTCTGTGTAGGAACTTGGAATTTTGTATTTGTGTACCTAGCTCTGTGAGAGTGTGTGCATGTCACATGCAGTATGCAGTATTGTCATTTTTGGGGCGTACACACACGCACATTGAGTCAGGAAGTGTCTGTATGAGCGCGTCTGTCTGCACGTGTGCTTTTCATGAGTCACCGCAGATACAGCAGCCAGCAGCCGTAGAGCAGCGTTAGCAGATAACAGCGTTTCTGTTCCAGAGGCCTCCGGCTCTGCCAACGAGCCATCGTCTCCCCGGCCTCATCCTCACGTCCGCGCGCCACACATCACTTAGCCCAACAACGCGGTAAGAGTCACAAGCGGAGAATAAATAATGACCGCTCGGGCCCGTCTGATGCCTGTGTTGTGGCCTGCTACAGTTTTATAGTTATATAATTCATTTATCAATTACCCGTAACAGTCAGAGTGATGTTACCCATTATGTGTAATGTCCAGTTCTTTAAAGCTGAATCAAGAGACACATATTCACCAGCCAAAGGTTCACCAATGTTTAATTCTCATGCCTCGCTTCTTTGTTTAGCACACACGTGGGTAAAAGTGAGGGTCATGGTATCTTCCTGTCGTCATCCGGAGATTCAAATCACTTCTGCGATTATAGCTGGCGGGGTCACGCTAGACCTGCGACGGGCTGCTGTGACTGATTGAAGCTGGCGGATGATTCAACCAGGAGTTACGTTTCCCATCCCTCTTATGCTGCAGTGCATTTTGGGCTCAGCTCGTCTCAACCTTTAAAGTGTGACTACAGTAACTCGCAACTTGCAACTGCACGGCAAGAAATACCGATCCAGCAGCACGAAAAACCTTGAGGGCCTTTAAATATTTAAGCACCACTCCTGAAACATGGAAATACTTTCCCTGGGTAGCCCCCCCCCCCCCCCAACCTCAAAACAAACACACACACATCTTAAAAACACTTTCCCATGCATGTTGTTTCAGAAAATGCATTGAGTGGTGTCAGCAGGAGGAAACCGGACGTGTTTTTTTGCCCGGCTGAGCACAGAATTCCAACTCCAGAAAGCAAGACGAGAAGAAGCTATGACTTGACACACTGTCAGCATCTATATTTTGATGCAAAATGCTAAGGACCAGATGATGTTGGGGACCTTTATTTTGATTATAGCCGAATTTCTGTCAAAGACCAGGAGCACCAAATCCTTATACGTTCATGCTATTTTTTTTGTGGGACCGCATGCAACAATGTCAGGCCGCAGATGTAGTAACGATTGGTCCTCTCCAATAAGTCCCCACCAGCAGGCAGTGAGGTTTTCACTTCCTGTGAACAGGTTTCCCAGGTGTAAAAAAAAGTCAAATGAGAAGTATGCACTCAACTGAAGCGAAAACATGAAAATCCAGTAGCCATGAGGATTTTTTGGGGTTACGGGTTACTTAAATTAACTTCGGTCAATCAAATATTTAGTTCTCGCAGCCAAAGCAGCTATTATAAAACCACTCGTCACTGGCAGAGTAAATGTTGCTCACGGTTTTGTAATTGGTAATTCGGCATTGCACACCATTATACAACCTCTGTATCAGATACGTCCCGTGTGTTGCCGCTGCGTTGGCTTCGTCGAGCCCCGTTTGCAGCCTCCACTGGGAAATCAGCCCACTTCCTGCTGAATCACAGCCACTGGTGGAACCAGAGGTGGAGGAATTATCAAGAGTGTGTGCATGCGGGTGTGTGTACTGGGGTGCAGACAGGGGGGAAGAAGACAGGCTGCTCCAGAGTTATTTAGTCAAGCTGTATTTACTGTAGCTT